GGTGGCCTCAGTATCCAAGCAGCCTTTAGTACTGTCTTCCCTTGGTGGTCCCTGCCGCTGACTCTCTCTCCTGCCCACCCCCACACTCCCACCCCCCCACCTTGCATTCATGCAGAGCCCAGTTAGCAATGGTGTCGGCCCAGCCTTGCCCTTTACCCGCCTCTATCCTTCCTTCCCTACGTTGCTGTAATGAAGTAACACTGACTGGGCAGCTTTAAAACCGTTTTCTCTCTCAGTTTCAGAGCCAAAAGGCGTATTGTCTGGGGCCGGAGCCTGCACCCTCTGCGCTGTGCATGCTTCCTCCCGAGGTCTTTGTGTGTGGACCCAGGCCCAGAGCGTGGTGGAGGGTGCATAGGACGTTAATGTGGTTTATGTTCCTTCAGAACTTATCTTTCAAAAACATGTCTTTCAGATTTTTGTGAACTAATATTTGAACTAACAAGGTGCTTCTCCCCAGGTCTGTTTAAGAAACGTAGCACGAGGGTGAGCCCCTCTTCTCCGTTGCCATGGCAGTAGTTTAACAGTTGTCAACCGCACTGCGAGTGCCTTTGTGGTTGATTAGACACCAAAGACCGCAGCATTTCACATTCCCTCCTCTTTGTCCCTGCACAGAAAACAGGCCAGGAAGGCAGCATGGTCAGCAGTGAGTTTTGAGTCGAAATGTGGCTGTCACGTCCCCTCAGTCATGGCCGCCCCATCCTAACCAGGAGTTCAGATTTGGGCCAGCCTAGACCTAGCACAGTTGGGGAGGTTGCTTTCCCGTTGGTGACAGCGTCTGCTTCTTCTGGCTCCGAATATTCCACGATCCATGTCGCCTTTTCATTTGTGTATCTGGTGTTCCTATATTTGTGTTTTTACATAGGTCTCAAGTGATTTTTTTTCTTACAACGAGGTGTGTCTCTACGTGCCGTTTTCCACAGATGTACGTGGTCTGTGAAAGGACATTTCCCTGGGTAGTGACATAGGACTCTACTGTGGCGTGTGGCATTAATTGAGCTCAGAGGTCTCTGTCTTGGGAGAACTCCATGCCACAGGGTTTTGGTGGGACCGTGTCCACAATTTATACCTCTAGCCACACCTACTATAATACAGGGTTCCCGCGTGAGAGCTGTTAATCAGGTCACCTCCCTTTCTCACCGAACGTCATGGTGATAAGAGAGCTGGCAAGTTTCTCACCAACTCCGTTTTCCCTGCCTCCCTCCTTTCCCAGAGATTATCTAATCTAGAGATTGGGATTAGTTGAAGGGTTTGCTTTTGTTCATCTCAGAGGCCCTTTTGCCTCTGAAATTCTATGGTTCTATGAAATATATACTCAGGACTGATCCTAGACCTGTGAGAACGCTAGGGTTTCGGGAGCGGATAATTGAAGCCAACAAATATCATATCCCATGGAGAAAGTCCCTGGTGCATGAGGGACTTACATAGACAAACTTTGAAGGGGCAAGACTAGGCTTGGCCAGTCTTCTCCCTCAAAGACATCACAAGTCACATGTAGTGGCCATTGATGCTGTGTGCTTAGGGACAGATCTTGGGGACCGAAGAGTTAGAAAAGGCTTCCTGAAAGGAGTCAGTCCTGCTTTAACCCTGCATTTTTCCGTATGTGGAGGATGCAGAGGAGAATAAGGGCAGGAAGAAGGCTGAGCCCTGGCCCTGGGCCTGGCCCAGGAGACGTGTGCTCCCTGTGTCCCGGCCTTGTGGGGCTGTGACTTAGGCCAGGGCCCCGGCACAGCGATTTGGAGTGACTGATAGCCTGTCACAAGGGGGAATGTGGAAAAAATGTAAACAGAACAGCCTGAGTATTCAGGCTTGCCGCAGCGTGGGACAGATGGCCTCTGTCTCCTGATCGGACCTGATGTCGTCCCTATGTTATATACATGGCACAGCTCAGTGACTGACACGCCGTCATCGTCCTCAGTCATTAACAAAGCTGAAATCATGTATTACTTAGCTCACTCTCTTCACAAAGATGAAGAAAGGCATGTGGGATTTTATTGCAAAAGATGAGAACCATTTTAAGTTGGGCACTTCAGTTGTGTGTTATTTTTAGTCATGTGGAAATTCTCGTTCCCTAGTGTTGCTAGATACGCTGAGCGTCAGGCAGACCGTTTGCTGTCGGTGCAGGTCTGCACAACTCTTAGACGTTTGTAAACTTTGTCCTGAGAGCCCCTCAGCTCCAGCATAAGCTTGTCACCCTGGGACACTGGCCGGGCTGCAGCTAGTTCTGAGTCACCTGGTGCCCCTGTTGAGACGGCAGTGCTGGGGGAAGAGAAGGGTGCCGGCACTTTCCCCGTTTGGTTTTTCGGAGCAAAGTTCTTGATCCTTGGAGGACGGTGAGAGCCACGTGTGTGATACGTGGTGCCCATCCTGCCCCAGCCATGTCACAGGGGACGCCAGGGCTCTTTCTGAGCAGTGTTCAGGTGGGCTGTGGACCTGTCCAGTGGGGAGCACCTATGGAGGCCCCGTGCTGGCAGGTGGCGTGGCGGAGCCCTGCTGGAGCTGGCCACGGACAGAAGCTGCTTCTCGGGGCAGCGCACCGTTTGTCTGTGGTCACGGGGCAGAGGGCTGAGAAGCACAGCCGTACAGCTCTGGCCCAGCCGCTGTCGCTCACAGGCCCCAACTGAGTTAGTGGGACTCTCTGGGCTCCTCCTGAACAGGAAAGCAAAACCCAGCAACCACAGGGGAGTTTTGCTTTGAAGATGGACCTGAAAAAAATCTGTGAAAATTACCTTTTAAGTCTTAGATTTTGATCAGGGAAGCAACTGGGAACCCAGGAGGCCAGAGACGTTTCTGTGTCAGCACAGGAGTGTGGGGTGACATGGTTTTGGACCCCAGTGTGTCTGTCTTTATAAACTGAGACTTATTTCTGTGCAGGGGGCTCTGTGTCTCACCAAAGCCCAGAGACTCTGGAAAAGCAACTTATGGGGCAGGTGGGGTAGGTGCACAAGGGAGTGTTTGTGTGTGTGTCTTACTAGGGAAGGGAGGGTAGATCTCTGGATGGGGTAGGGGACGAAGGATCATGTGCCCCTCTGTGGAGAATGTCGGGGGACAGGGGCAGGGAAGAGGTTAGGATCTCCACATTGAGCTGGAGATCACCATGCAAGGCCATCAGAGCCAGCAGAGTGGACTTCTGTATGAAGATCTGCAGTGCACACGAACCCCAACTCAAGGGCCACCTACTCAGGAAAGCTACTCTTGCACCCTCCCCTGTCCCGGGCAGTTAGGAACTGTTCTCTGTGCTTACTCAGCCCCTGTGTATTCCAGAGCGAGAGCACACTCATTGTCACACGGTTTATGTTCATGCACCTGGCTAAAAAGAAGCTCCATCTGTCTAGTCCCAATGCTTGGCAGATACAGGTATTATACTTAAATATGAGAATGACAAGTGAGTGACTAGGACTTTCAAGATGTGGATTTGCTCTTAGGAATATTGCATTTCCATTATGCAAGTTTGGTTTCACCAACAGTGTTCCCAGGCCTCACATGGTTGCACATATGCAGGACGATATGAAGTACCAGCTGAATGCAGATCACTGAGCTGGGCACTGTTGGCAATATAACTAAGAAAGCTTTGCCAGGATTTTGCTCTTAGAGAGCTTAGCCAACTTACTTCCAGATTACATTCTGTTAAACTCTTAAAGCGGAGCCCCAGGGGCACCTTTGGAGGTGGGTTGGCAGAATTTCCAGCTGGTAGGTAAGGGGCTGCACTGTCTTGGTTTGGAGTGCAGAGCCCTGAGCCACTCTGACAGTATTGGAACGCAGTAGGGTCTTCCAGGCATCAAAGGCAGCCCTGTCCTGGTGCTCTGTCTATTGTTAGTAATCCTTGTAAGCCCATCTCCTTAGCAGAAAACTAGGAAGGAAGATCTAAAGGGCAAGATAAAAATATATTTGTGGTGTCCAGCACACTGGTGGTTGGTGAACAACTTAGAGAGCTGAAGATGTCAAGATGTACACTGTTACAAGGAGGCCACATGTGATGGGGAGAGAGGCCAAGCTGGGGATTTGTGAGTCTCGTGGGAGTTCCAGCTCTTCTGTTTATTAAAGGCATGCTGTTGTGCAGGTCATAGATGTTTGAGCCCCAGTTTTCTTACCGTGAATGATTGTGAGGGTCCAATAAATGAGGTGTGTAAAGACGCTTGCTGTATCCTTGCAAGCTACTCTTCCAATCTCTTTCACAGATTATTTTCATCTGAGGCCAAGAGCATGTTCTTTTGCCACGCAAACTCATTTCTGAGCATGGGCACCCCCCACGTCCTCTCTCCTGCTTGTTGAGATTGCCTCTTCTCTGCTCCCCTGCTGTTCTCTGAGGTCCATGCAGGTGGTAGGTTGGAGACTTAGGACACAGGGACAGAGGTAGTCCCTTTATGCCCCTCTGCTAAGGGCCAGAGACAGCAGTGCAAGGCCTGGGGGCCTCACAGACTAAGAAAGGTCAGATGGTCTCAGCTGAGGCCGCCTTTTAAGTGGATGGATGTATGGATGCCCTGTATGGATGCAATGGTTCTGGTCTCTCTGAAACCTAAACCCTGGGATTTCTTACACCCAAGGGCAATGAGGCACAGGGACAAAACCCTGAACTGGCACCTAAGAAACCTGAATCTACTCTTTGTTCTTTCACTCGTTAGCTCTGCGACCATCAGTGAGTCTCTTGCCCTTTTGGGGGTCCTCAGTTTCTTCTTTTGTAAACTGAGGAAAAATAGAAAATGCTCTGTATAGCTAAACCTAAATGTAAGTTATAAGTTGTAACTTCTACCTCTTTGAGCTATTGGTGAGGTGGGATGTAGCGAATGACATAGCCCAGAAGAGGGCACAGAAGCCACGTGGCCACGGGTCTTAGTTTTTTATCTTCACATTCTCATCCTGGAGACACAAGGTGTGGTGGAAACCAAGAGACTTCTGTGTGAGATTATCTTTGCTGTTTTGTTACTTTACCTGATTCCAAAACATTTTCACTTAGGAACTACTTAATCAAGAAGTTTTGCATTAATTTTACTCTTTTTTCTCAGTATTCAGCGAGCAGCATTGGTGGTTCTGGAAAATTACTACAAAGATTTCACCATTTATAACCCGAACCTCCTAACAGCCTCCAAATTCCGAGCAGCCAAGCACATGGCCGGACTGAAAGTCTACAATGTAGATGGTATGTGTCTTGAACCTATGTCTGTGGTATGTGTGGTAGGCACACAAGGTGACTGTTTAGTTTAAACTTCATAGTACATTTGGCTCTACTTCCTCTCTGCGCTTACCTTTATGGTGCATTCTCATTTCAGAACAGTTTCTTTTCTTTTTCTTTTTTAAAGCAGATAGACATTTTGAGAAGACTATTGACTTACAGTCTATGTATGTGGGAAGCTCATTCATTTTGGGATTTTATGATTGAAAATAATAGCAGTGTTTCCCAACTCCTGCTGGGAACACCTTATATTGAAAGCTGTTAGGAAAAAGCTGCTTTTCAAAATGTGGATAAATTACCCAAAGACTCAGCAAGCTACCCAAGTCTGTTAAAACTAGAAATCTCAGCCGTTCAGGCATCTGGTGAGATACTTACAGGCATTTCTCACTCCTGGCTAGGAGCTGGAGTTGAGTGGGTGTCAGGAGGCTGGAGGCCAGGCTGGGGAAGCCTGAGCTGGGTTTCAGGGTATCAGATGGTTAAGTGCAAGAAACGGGACCCGGTGTCATTCCTTGCTGAGTATCTTGGGTGAAGGCAAGAGTTTGCAAACCCTGGGAGAGGATCTTGTTGTCAACAAGTCAAGGGATTTATATATAGTATCAATTTTTAGTGGCGATTTTACCTATGATCTGAAAACTTAGCAAGCAGCAATTCCCACTGGTGAAACCAAGTCACCAGCCAAGTAAGTTATCTGCAAGAAATCCTAAAATCTGCCTTATCTTTCTGAAGAGTCAAGGTGGTCAGTGGTCAGAGAACAAGGCAGGAGTTGTAAGCCTGTATTAATAAATGGGCCATTGTGTGTGTCCCGAAGCATCGGTATTTTCTATACGTTGTGGCTGCCGTGGCATCCCATCATAGCTTGTTTTTCAGTGCGTAATCAGTGTCTTGTGTCCCTTGACTTTCTTTGTTCTCTGTCTGTCCATGTTCTCCTTGTCCCTCTCATTCTTTCTCATTGTCTTGTTGCTGAAACGTGATGTCCCAGCTGCCCTTATGGCCAAACTGAAACCTGATATAACAGATGGTAAGTGACATCCCCAGCACACTCTGTGTATTGTTTGTGGCCAACATTTTAATTGTCGAGCCTTCTCCATCCCCTTCTGAGTTCTTTTCCCATTTCCACTGATCAGGGCAGGCTTGAGCGAGACCCCCTGCTCTCGTGCTATGGGCGTTCACAGTGAGTGCGGAGTGGGGGCCTTGTTTGCCCCCTGGGAAGTTACCTTCAGGATTTGTGTGTGCTTCACAGGGCTGGGTGGACAGCGCTGACAGACTGGTGCTACTAGTTTTCTGCTCAATTTTCCAGCCTCTTAGTATTAAAACTATTCTTCCTCCTCTGTCCTCTCCCCAAAGGCCCCAGTAACAACGCCTCTGGGCAGTCCCGGGCGATGATCGCTGCCGCCGCGCGCCGCCGGGACTCGAGCCACAATGAGCTGTATTACGAAGAGGCCGAGCACGAGCGGCGAGTAAAGAAGCGGAAAGCAAGGTACGCCACCCTCCTGGCACCAACCACCAGTGCCCTCTTGTAGATTTCTTTATTTTTTTACTGCTTGGATAAGGTTTCTGTTCATCATCTTTTCATTCATGACCTGCTTGAGTCTTTGGAGTCTACTTTGCTCTAGTAGTTCTCAAACGTGAGCATGGATGGCATCGCTGGGAGGGCTCATTCAAGCACAGATCGCAGGCTCCAGGCCCTGCTAAGGTTCCTGCAAAAAGTCCAGTAGGTCTGGGGTTGGGCCCGAGAATTGGCATTTCTAAGAAATTCCTGGGCGATGCTGATGCTGCTGGTCCACTCTCCGAGTGAGCCTGCCCTGCGTCCCCAGAGCCTCTCTGGCTTTCACGGTTCTGGTCGTGTTGACTGAAGGGGACAGCACTGGTTTCCATCACGTGTGCTGTGCTTCACGGACCGGTGGTGTGGGTGGCTGGATCAAGGGGACGCAGTTCTGGTCCTTTATAAGGCTGCTTCTGCACCACCAGGCACCTCTGTGCACAGAGCCTTTTTTAGCCAGAGTTTGAGAGGCCTTTGAATCCTTTTCATCTAACCCTTCATTGTAGAGATGAAAAAAGGATTGAAGTGAGTTTCCCAAGCTTATTAGTGGCAGGATTGGGAACATAGTTCATTTTGCAGTCCTGTGGCTCCTTCCTCCTCACCCCTGTGACCCCTGTTTCACATATTATTTTTGCATTGCCTTCCTTTCTCCCTCCCCTCTCAACCCCCTGGTGGACAGCTGAGGATGCGAGCAGCATGATTGGGCCACAGCAGGGCAGGCAGGTGTCTTCCCACGTGTTCTGCGTGACTCTGTTCTCAAGCAGCAGGCCCTGCCCTGTTGACCATGTTACATCTCCTTCCAGGCTGGTGGTTGCGGTGGAAGAGGCCTTCATCCACATCCAGCGTCTGCAGGCCGAGGAGCAGCAGAAAGCCCCCGGGGAGGTGATGGACCCCAGGGAGGCCGCCCAGGCCATTTTCCCCTCCATGGCCAGGGCTCTCCAGAAGTACCTGCGCACCACGCGGCAGCAGCACTACCACAGCATGGAGAGCATCCTGCAGCACCTGGCCTTCTGCATCTCCAACAGCATGACCCCAAAGGTGCGCTGCCCTGGGCTGGCTCGGCCGGTGTCAGCCTGACTTGTCACTGAGCTTGGCCAGTCACATATTAGGGTGTCACTAGACATGATAAAATCACAGGCTGCTGCTTCTCTGAAACAGCAAGTAATAAGAATTAGTGATTCCCACTTATTTTATAGTATCCGATTACATTTGCTTTTTAAGTGTGTCTTTCAAAGGCCTCTAGATTCTAGCAGAAGAGAGAATTTCACTGAGAGACAGTACAGAGTAGCGATTGGGGTGCTCTGTGGACTCTGGAGCCCGAGTTGACTCATTCTAACCTGGCTCCTCCACCAGTGAGCTGTGTATCCGTGGGCAAGTAGCTTAATGGCTCTGTGCCTCGGTTTCCTAACCTGTAAATTGGGGATAATACTAATAACCACCTCATTTGGTCATTTTGGGGGCTAAAAGAGATAATTCATGTGAAGTGCTTAAAACAGTACCTGTCATATGATAAGGACTGACAAAATAGCTATAATTATTAACAGTAGAAATAATGCCATTAAGCATTTTGGATATTATGAAATTCATTTTACTGAATGGTCTTTTGGATTATATTAGCACACTTTTAGGGGTATTACAAGAAATAGCCATATACTTAATAGAGGGGTATGGCCAAGTAGGCAGACTGGAGTAATGGAGTAGCGTGTGACTTCTCCAAAGAGAGGTGGGTTTAAATCCTGATTCTACCACTTAACTGGTTTGTGACTCTGCACAAGTCACTCTACACTTGTTTCAAAATGGGGATCATAGTAATATCTACCTGATGATAGGGTTGTTGTGTAAGAATTATTAATACATTAAATATGGCAATATGGCATATAAATCATAGTAGAAAATAAATGAATTTGGCATGTAGCATGCATGTAACATTTGATAGCTACTGTTTATAATAAGGACCATGTTCATACATTGCACCATATGTGTGTCCTACTGGTTATACATGGTCAGTCACTAACAATACTTAGGAAAGCAATACAGAAATATTCAGTAAGAGACCATGAGGTCTTTTGTATTCTTTGACTCACTAATCTCCCTCCTAGGAAAAGTATTCAGCATAATCAAATATATACAGGAATATACACAAAGGTGGTTTTTGTAAAATAAGCTGTAATAACTCCAAACTCGAAATAAATTGAAACTATAACAGTGGCTTATAAATTATGGTATATCACCTTTTGAGTCGTGGAAAAACCTTTGTTAGAATATTAAGGTATAAAAAGCATGGTGCAAAAAGGTATGAACACTATGGTTGCATGAAGAAAATATATGTGCATTAGCAAAGGGAAGGCTTGTACCATGTAGAATGATAATTGGTTTCCTTTTGTCAAGGGTTTTAAGTTTCCTGGTTGCTTTCTGTTTCACTTAAAAATGTTGTATTTTTCTGAATTAAAAATAATAGCTGTTATTCGTATAAAACTCCAAACATCAAAGCAAAGTATCATGTAGAAGGTGAAGTTTTCATCTCCCTCAAACAGCTCTTACTGATTAGGAGTTTGTGTAAGTTCTTTCAGGTATATGTATGTTTTTAAAAGCAGAAATGGAAAAACAACAGAAATTGGATCATATTCTCTCTCTCTCTCTCTCTCTATATATATATATATATATATTTGTGTGTGTATGTGTGTGTGTGTATATCTCGCTTTTTTTTAACCTAAGGCTATCCTTTGGCTGTCTTTTCATGTCAGTAAATACAGATCTAACTCATTCCGTTAATAGCTGCACTTCACTGTACCAAACTGATTGCCTGTGAATGCGCATTTGGATTAAGGGTTTTCATTAGTCAAAGTAAGTGCTGGCTGTTTTGATAATCAACTTTTATTGGAGCACAGCCACTCCCTTTTATTTACATATGACCTATGGCTGCTTTCACTCTGCACCAGCAGAGTTGAGTAGCTGTGACATAGTATGGCTTAAAAAACTGAATATATTTACGTTCATAGAAAAGTTTGCCAACCCCTAGTCTAAACAGTATTACAGTGAATACTTCTTCACAGAAGTATTTGTGCAAGTATTTCTGAAGGATAAATTCCCAGTAAAGGAACAGCTGCATCAAAGTTACAGATCTGCCAAATTGTCCTTCTGGGAGGTGTTACCATTTTATACTTTTTGCCTCTGGTGTCTGGGACTTTTAATCTCTCCATGTAATTGGCATCTTTGGACATCATTCTTTTTAATCTTTGTCCATCTAAGAGGAGGAAAATGTTTTAAAATTATTTTAATTTATATTTCTTATGTATGTGACAGAGAATTTTTTTCATGTTAACTTTCCATTAATATTCTTCCATAAATTATTGGTTTCATTTTTCTGATCATTGAGTTATTTCTTTTTTTTTTTTTTATCATTCGTAGTGCTGTTTTTATATTAGAAGTGTGCAAGTAGGCAAGGCTGTATATTCTGCCCTGAAGTGGATGCCACACAGATCAGCAATGATGTACCTGCCCATAGCAGTGAGGTGTGGGTAGAAGGGGAGACCACTTAGAAACTGTCCTTGACTCTGTTTGGGACCAGGTGGATATATTCCCAATATGTTTCCATCAGTATTACTGGCTCACTCTTTTTCCTTTTCTCACAGCTAAGTCCTTGTATTTATTAATGTTTGATTGAATTCACGTGCTGTCCAACTCAGTATGTACCAGGCACACTGAAAATTCAAATTTTAAAAAACATAGCTCCTCTCGTTCAGGAGGGTGAAGTCTAGTGTGAGGAGTGGACAAGTGAGTCAGCAGTAATTGTTCAAGAGGTAAAACATCACACGAGAGTTGATGATCATAGTGTCTTGGAAGAGGGCATGGTAATCTGCCTGAGTGCTTCAGGGGAAGTGGTTCGAGGAGATTGAAGGGCGAGGAGGAGTGTGCTGAGTGACAGCGCTTAGCAGGAGGAACGGCACATGTGACAGCATAGCACAGTCAGGGGAGGGAAGAAGGCGCGCATGGCCGTGTGCGCACTCGTTCAACATAAAATGATCACCGCTCACTCACTCACAGCCAGGCATTGCTGGGAGTGCTTTCTGAGAGGCAGCCCTGCCATCCTCATAGCAGCCCTGTGAGTCAGGTAGTGTTACTGTCTCCACTTACAGAGAGGGTAAGTGACTTGTGCAAAGTCACAGCCAAGAGGTGGGAGAGCATGCAGTTTCGTTCCTGCAAGTATATTCCTCTGTCTGTTCAGCTCATATTCACTGAGTGCTTCTTCGGGCCTGGTACTTGCCCGGGCCCTGAGGAACTTTCAGGTCAGGAGGGAGGAGGTAGAGGGACATGTCTAGTGGGGCCTGTACTTGTGAGGGGGTGAGGCATCAGCGATGGCTGCCAGGCAAACGCTGATGGCGGCCACCCACATTCCCTCATCTCCGTGGTTACCACCACGTCACCCCAAGGAGAAGGAGGAAATCAAAGAAGTCTTCCCACCCTGGTGATGACTCAATTGTGAAGGTCCAGTGGGAATTCGCTGTGATAATCTGGGCTCTGCTCTAACTAAGGTCTTGGTCTATTTGGAAAACATTTTTTGTAGGTATAAGAATGGGTAGCCGCCTGGCAGGACTTCCCTGGGAATTGGGACGTTTCTTCCCTAATGTCTCTCTCCTCTGCTTTCAGGCCTTCCTAGAACGTTACCTCAGCGCGGGCCCCACCCTGCAGTATGACAAGGACCGCTGGCTCTCTATGCAGTGGAGGCTCGTTAGTGACGAGGCTGTGACTAATGGATTACGGGATGGGATTGTTTTCGTCCTTAAATGCTTGGACTTCAGCCTGGTGGTCAATGTGAAGAAAATCCCATTCATCTTACTCTCCGAAGAGTTCATAGACCCCAAATCTCACAAATTTGTCCTTCGCTTGCAGTCAGAGACGTCAGTTTAAAAATTCTATATTTGTGGGTTTATATTAAAAAAAAGAAGAATATATATAGATATATATATATATATATATGTATACCAGAGGGGTGTCCCTTTTTTTATTGTTCATTGCTGACTGAAACTGGCAGATGATAGACCAGTATCTTTTGACCATCTGCACTTTACTTGGAAGGAAGCAGGGGATGTCCACCCTGGGAAAAAAGTGACCGATGACATCTGACTTTTGTGACTGGGACTTCTCAAGAAGCCGTTCCCTGGAGTTTCTGTGACAGCTGTAAACCAAAGCGGAGCTGGTGCATTCTTGGGAGCCTCGCCTTACAACGATCAGTTCCTGCCTTGCGTCCAGGACCACGTCCCCCATTGCTTCTGGTCGCCCCACTTGTAGATTTCTAGGGGACACATCTTCATTCTCTTTCAGGAAACCAGTCACTGCACGTCCACATTTGTATGTGTGTATGTAAATGTCCAGTACCACGTCACAAACGAATGTCGTGGGCAGTTCAGGAAATGCCCGCCTTCATCTTTGTTCTTTGTTGCCTTAGGTTCTGCAGAGAAAGATCACAACAAAAAACGTGCACTGTCAGTTTACGGCTGTTACGTGATTTGATTTTTTATTTCTCCCAAAGAGAGAACCTACCCTGCCCCATTTCTGATCCTGCCCTCTCCTGTCTTGAAGGAGGTAGCCTTTTCCTAGCCCTGTGACTGCCCACCCAGTCTCTACTCCCTCCCACCCCCACCTGGCCGGCAGCCCTGGCCAGGGGAGCTCAGCCTTTCAGAGCCCACGGGGACCTGGCTGTCCACATTGCCCTCAGGCTCTTTGCACTGCTGCAAGTCAGTCCCACGGATTGCTCCCGCAGTGACATGTGGAGTGCCCACCAGGCGGAACACGGGGAGAGCAAGCCAGCCCGGATGCCCCTCTCAGGCTGCAGTAGGAGCTCCACCCTGCCCGGGTCTCCTCCGCACTGCGCCGCACCAACCAGGAGAGGACCAACACTGTGACCCTGGGCTGGTGGGTGCAGCTTGCAGCCATGTAATTTCCTGGGGAGATAAGTTCCCACAAAGCTCATAGCAAGCTGCCCTGCCAAGGGAGACCAAATAATACAACCACACTGGCAACTACTGCTGTCCAGTCCCTGTGTTTTCTGACCACTGTCACTGTGCAGCTCATCACCTCTGCCACTTACTACCAGGAAAGGGACTTATTTAGCTCCTGATGTGTAAATTATTCTTACTTGTTAGTCAAGTGGGGATAAGGAAAGTGGACACTCTGTCAGTTTGTGAAAGGGAGAGTAGAGAGCCAGTCTTGTCTAGAATGATTCATCTGTGATCTGTTTCTTAAATGCGCTGGTTTCAGTGGGCTTTCCCCTGGTCCTGGGGAACAGGTGCTGCCGGTGCTGTGGGCAGAGGAGCCGTCCTGGCGGGGCCCTGCTGTTGGGGAGCCCCTTAAGGAACCCCATCTAGACACCTTGCAGGGGGCTGTCTATGCCTCCGTTTGCCTTCCTGCATCAGCAACAAAACTTTTAGAAGTATTTACTCCTGCTTTTCCCAGTATTTAGGGTAATCAGTTACCTAGTAAAGGATAACACTGTCAAAATGCTCCTTGTACGTGTGTGTGTACCTTTACTGTTTTACGTATTCCACAAGTGGTACAGTATTTCGGTTGTCATTTTTAAATCAGAATTGGCTTTGGATATTTGTAACACACCTGTACCTGAAACATTAAACACCATTCTTGCATCAACAGCCTTCAGCTCAAAAAGATATGTTGGAAAAGGAAGGGTAAACGCAGGGGTGTGGCATGTAGCCAAGACGTCCTATTTAACTACATGGTTTTGTTTACGAAAAACACATACCAGGTAGCCATGGTGCTTTTGTTCTTCTTAGTTTTTGCCTTTAGGTCCCTTCAAACTGAAAATTCCTTACGAATGTCTTTCTCAGGAAATATATGGGGAGAGGGGGTAAGGGGTGGTGAATGTGTGTGAGACTTTGGCTGTGTTAGAGGCTGCTGCAGCATTAATATGGTGCAGTTGGAAGTGCCATAAATATATGTGCATATAGTTAATAATAATCATCAGCATTCTAAACTACTGTGCTTCCAACCATATCTTAAATTACCTGTCCAGAAGGGGCCATGGTTAGATTCATTTGCTTTGGCATGTGCATTCCCAGCAGGGTGAAGAAAGGCTTAAATTAAGGAATTTATTTTCTCTCCCCCAACCCCAGTCTTAGTATAGAAGAATGTCAGACTTTCTGAAATTATTGTCTGTGTTTTAAATTGAGTATTGATTTTTTTACATTGACTTTGTATTGCGTCCTTTTTGAAAGAATAACAAAATAAAATGCAGGATCTTTGTAAAGCCTTTGCACTTTCAACCTCTTAATAGCTTCAGTTACTGGTGCAGTGGGAACAATGTAAATGACATAAAAAAAAACCATAAGGTTTCAGAAAGCTGCATCACACAATTGAACACAATGCATTTTCATTTCAGTTCTTGGAACCAGTAGGCTATTCTTTTTAAAAGGGGATAAATTGTGCCCTAAGGCTAGTAGAATATAAATTCATATTATAGGAGACAGGATTTCATTTGCCTTAGATGTTTATAGATTTTCTGTAATTTTCAACCTAGCTTATTAAAATTCACAAATGTTAGAAGAACTTAATGAGGAATATATGTCTGAGATTGCTCTCTTTCCCTGATGTTTTAAGCAGTAGATAAACTGTTCTTAATTGTGGACCTTTGAAGATATGACAGTTTTTAATAGTCCATGAACTGAATGTTTAAAAAGTCTGCATTCTTAGAGTTGGAAGGGATCTTAAGGCCATGTAATTCATCCATCCTTTGCATTATCAAAATGTTAGGTCAAAATTCATAATACTTCTGCTAAAGTGTATAAAGTAAGCCCTAGAGAAAATACCTGACAATTTTTTGCCCAACTATTATCTTTTTCCCTCTCTGTCCATCCCTTTTGAAATCTGCATAGAGAACAGATTCTTTACAGCAAAGGATGAGAGGTATCCCTCATGATGAGAGGTATCGTGGTTCATTGCCTGGATTTGGGGCTCCGTTTTTGATGGGGTGGCTGGCTGTGCAGGTGTGGGGTGGGGATAGGTGATCACCCCATCCTGCTCCTTACCATAGGGCTGAGCTTTCATTCTGTCCCATCTCCACTTCCCAGTGTATGTATTCACACAACAGCTGAGCCCTGTGGGATGCCAGTGGTGTATTGAACTGACAGAAATTGATTACCCTGCTCTTCCAAACCACGCCTGAGTGAGGGTTCCAGCCACTCAAATGAAACCGACATATTTGAGTCCTTGGTTCTTTAATCTGGGCCCTGCTATGTAAGGCTCCGTAAATGGGAATGCCTATTTGTGGGTATTTGATTCCATATATGTGAGCATTTCTCCATTAAACATCTTAACATCCATGTTATCTGTAGCAGATAGGCGTGTGTCTCAGCAGATACGTGTGACTGTGTATATGGCTGAGTGTAGAGGGGTGTATGTGTTTCTATGATGTCCTAATGCTTGGGAGATTTCCCAGTAGCTCCTGTCTTTAGGACATTAAAGCCAGTGACTTCTCCCTCCCCTACTTTATTCCTTTCCCTCACTTGCACTTCCTCTCCCTGTCCCCCCAGTAAATGGCTTTAGCACAGCAGTGTCTTCCAAGAGCCTGCTGTCCTGAAGACATGTCCATTAGACTCCTTGCTTTAAAACCCGAGGACCTGAAAACAGCAAGAAACAGACAAAGGTCAAGCTCTATGAGACTTACTGCTCAAACTTAACTGCCCTGGAAGCCTTACTATACATTTATTAATATAACTTAAAAATTGGCCTTTATTCAAAAAACAATGATTGGTTACTAAAAGCACAGAAATGTTAGTGTATTTATTTAAATAGTCCTGCAGTAGAAACCGTGAGATTATAAAGTGATGTGAGTATTTCTGGGTAGTGTTTGTGTTTTATGGATTTGTTGCAAAAAATAAATCACTACTGTGAGTTTACTACTATGTAACCTTGTGGCCGTATTCCATTATAAATAAAATATGAATTATTCTTAAGCCCATAGCGGAGTTCCTGATTGATATTCAGTGCAGTAGTGAATTGAGATATTTTAGATACTGTTGAAATAACTGTATTGAGCTTTAACCAAATGGATGCTCAAAAAATTAGATTTTGGGTCACATTTTTACAAAACATTTTGGTCAAAGAAGGGAAAGTGACTAACAGTTTTATCAATGTTGTATATCAAATACACAACCTTGCTATGCTCACATGCTTCTAAAGGAGGAGTTATCTCAGTTTTACAGGTGAGAAATAGGAAGATCAGAGAGGAAGGGACTTGCCCAAGGTCTCATGGCTGGTAAATGGAATTTCGAAAGAGGTGTTAGGTTGATTCCAGTCCCTCAGTCTACTATCCCTTGAGTGTGATCCAAATGATTTGGCATTTCTGGGTGTGGAAGAGGGACCTAGAGACAACCTTGAATTAAAACCTGGGTTTAGGGGTTCATTGGGGGTGGGCCCTCTACTTTAAAAAAAATGCTTCCCAAGGGACACTGTGTGGTCCCTTGGGAAGCATCCCCAACATGCGGGCAGATTTGTGAGGATATTCGATGGAAAAACTTGAGAATCCTCTTGCCCCAAGAAAACCCGGTCCTGCCAGTGTAGCACCTGCTGCGAGATGAGGTTCTATTGTTCCCGGCAGCCACTGTTGCTTTTGTCTCACCCACCTCCCACCCCCACCCTGTTGGCTTGGGAAGATGTGCGGCTTGGGCACAGGGAGACATGCAGGGGCCGGGCCTGCCTTCTTCCTGGTGCTATTGCAACATTAAGCTCCAACTGCTTACCCTGCTTGGGGTGAGAGAGGGGCTGTCTGCAGGCCCAGCCTGGGGAGGTTTGGAGCTGGAGTCCCTGGCCCTCAGTGTTCTCAGCAGGCCGTGTGCATCCTGCTGTCTTCCCCACACTTGCCTTCAAGACTTGACAGAACAGACATAAAATAGGATTGTGAAAACACCGTTTTTTGCTATTCCCGTGTCTGTAAGTTTTGATTCAGTTGGGCACAAACTATCTTTTCCTGCCCTGCTCTTTGCTTTCAGCGGAGAACAGGAAGGGAAGATGGTGCTCATGCCCTTTTGCATTGCTTCTCATTGGGAATTAAGAGGAACTTTCAAAGGGTGGGTAAGAAATGTAAAACTACTGAATAAAATTAGATTTGGGGGCTCTGTGAGTCCCTTTTTACTGGGTTCTGTGCGATTTCCACATAACCCAATTTGTTTTGTTTCACCTGTAAAATAAATCTCTTTAATGGGTGGTTTTAGAGTCTCTTCAAGAAAACATAAATTCCTAAAACCTGATGCAGACGGTAAAAGGCTACTTTCCATATGACACTAAGAGTCTGCAATTTATGTCTTTCTCAGCTTAAAAACATCAGTGTTTTGTCCTTGTCTTAGTGGAAGAAAGACACTTATTTTAAGCTTCAGGGACAAATGTGACAAACCCCAGGCTTTTATCTTTGGAATGTCTTTGGCACTTATTTTGGCACTGAAATAATATTTGGGCAATGTTTGCATGTACAGATGTCTGGTTTTGTATGTGTTATGTTTATCTGAGTTTTCACTGTGGGCATGGGCTTTCATTGTGAAGTTGCTCATCATTTAGGAGTGTTTAAACCCCAGGAAGCCCTCATCTGTGAGGGCTTTTGATCAGGGAATTAGTGATGGGACTTGGGCATCTGATCTGCAGGTAACAAGGTTAGTTCAACAAAAGTTGTAGGAAATTTAGACATTTGCATATCATCACCATTCTAGGGCCAGGTAGAAAGATGTAATGGTTACTTTTCATTAGCGCCCCTCAGTTATAGAAGCAGTGGAATATTCACTTAGTGTTGATCATCATTCTTTAAAAAAAGGATCATGAAAATCTAAACTTTGGCCATAATGTCTTATTTTTAGAGTGGATTCACTGTAGGCTTTAATTAAATGGCAAACTCCTCTGAGACCCCTAAATTATATCATGATTAACCAAATTTGATTTCCAAGCAGTCCTTCGTGAGTATAACTATTTCGTAGAGTGCAAGACAGCCGCAAGCATGAGGGTAGGAGTAGATACTGGCTTACTGACGTGATGCATTTAACTCACCTTGTGAATGACCCCTTCCTCAGCAAAGATGCTAGCAGGAAGATCAGAGAGGCCTGGGCCAGAACTTACTTAGGAGAAGATTATTTGACAAATGCTTTTTTTAGAAGGACTTTATATTTCTGGATTTCTAATCCAGCATCAATATGGAAAATTCAGTGATGAAACCATCTGTCTCTATCTGATAGTTATAACTGCAAAAACGTGGCTAGGGATCTTTCATGTTCTTTCCAATCCGTTAATACTGAACTTTGTAACTAGGAGGGGCGGTTTTGCCAACCAGCCTCTACTCGTGGTCTCTGCAGGTGTTTGACAAAGCCTGAGTGTGAGTTACTGCTTAAACTGGGTGGTGGGTGCTACTGAGACATTTCTAACCTTGTAAATGAATGAATTACACTCCCAGCAACCATCTGTACAAGTCTGTTTACTTAATTCATTAAGTTTATGCTATGAAACCTCATTGTGATGGCAGTAACAATGTGAGTGTCTCTGATAGACATAGCATACCTGTCATCCAAGTTATTTTGTTCCCTTCTGGGTCCTCTAGTTATAGCCCTCCCCGATCCCAAATCACTGTAAAACATCTTACACATTACATTTTTTTATACTGTAAACTTGGAAAATAAATTGAAATCCCAAATTATATGTTGCTTATTTCCTTCCGTGTGATTATTTCAATCTAAAAAATGGTTTACTTTTTCGGACAAGTTTTCTCTCTTGCATTATTTTGATACCCTCTTAAGACAACCTGTCATATTTCTATGAAATCCAAGACAATTAAAATGATAGACTGGGAAAGTAGAGTTACCATTATAACAAAAACTACTGGTTGTCAATCATTTTATGGTGAAGAAAATATTTAAATGCATAGATACTTAAAAATGAAATCCTTAGGCTCTAAAAGTTGGAGATGAAACAGACCTTTTGAGTAAAGCAGCAAGTGAAAAAATCTTTACAAAGGAAAAAAGTATCAGACCCTGGATTTGGGGGCTAGTGAATATTGAATTGGTTTTGTGAGTGGCTTGGTAATTTAATTTATATTATTTGCTTATTTTAGACAGAACTACTTAAAAAGAACTTGATTGTTTGACAAAGAAATGTTAAAGCTTGCCTTTTGCTAAATTCAGCTATCCTTAACCTGCATAGAATGCTGATGACACACAAATTCTTATCTGTTGCATGGACAGGGATCAGTGAAAGAAATTGACTTGAAGATATTCATTGTATAAATTATTGATAAGCTCTGTTTCTTTGAGTCACTAGCCAAAATATGTACAATTTATATCTGCACAAGTAAACCCTACTGATACATCCTGTAAGCTCTGTTATCCAACAGTGCCGGGGAATTCAATATAGGTATTCTGCTTAATCAATTATTTATCCATCATCCCAATAAAGGAGTGTTTACTTTGTGATGGGCAAAGTGCTAAGTGCTGGGATACAAAGATAAATAAATTCCCTGCCTCTAAAAAGGTTACAATTTAGTGTAAGAAAAGACATGCAAATATATGTTATAATTTAAATGATAAGTACTGTGGTCCAGGATATGAACAAAATGCCATGGGAGCAAAGAGAACGGGGCACCTTCAGGTCACCAGACAATGGGATAGATCAGTCCCATCCAAACTGGGACACCATGGAGAGGAGAAGTTTAGGGAGAAGGTAATGAGTTCAGGTTTTGTTGTGTTGCGTTTGAAGTGCTTGTACAATATCCAAGTCAAGATGTTCAGAAGCAGTTGAATGAGTGGGACTAAAACTGAGTCGAGAGGTCAAGGTTAGAGAACTATATTTGGAGGTCATGAGCACACAGGTGGTGGTTGATGGGCATGATGATATTGCCATGGATGAGTATAGAGTTGAGAGATGCTGTGAAACACCATCCTTTAAGGGGCAGGCCGAGGAAGAGGAGCCAGAACGGAAAACAGAGAAGGTTTAGAGAGGTAGGACTGGAGCCAGATGAAAATGAGCTGGATCAGAAAAATCAAGATAGGATTTTCAAGATAGTTTGAATATTTTCAAAATATGAGTTTAATGACAGAGTTAGTTAACTACTATTCCACAAAAGGATTGTTCTATTTTCAAAAAATTTTCCCAGTGTCTTACACGTGTGTTAAAAGATTGAGAAAATAAATAAGAACTTTATACTGCACACTTAATGTGCTAAAACTACCAAGCACAACATAACTTTAGACAGCTTGGAAGGCACTTTGGGATATTTTTTTTGAGTGCTTCGGGGCATCATTATGAACTCCAATTATCGTTGCCCTGGTCAACTGTGGGAGTGCTGATGAATGGAGAGTTAATTGACCGCTGTATAAAGCAACCTTTGCTCTAAGTGGGAAGTCTCACCAGCAGCAACAGAGAAGGGGTATTCAGATCCCAGCTCGGGCCAGGCAGCCAGCTGACCTCATCAGAGACATGAACCCATCAGAGACATGAACCCATAAAAAAAATTTTAAATCTTTAATCCTTCCAGTTTCATACCTCCCACCCCACCCCCACTGCCAGTGATGAATTATGTGAGACCTGCCACTTAGAGAAAAGTTCAGAGAACAAATTAATCTCCCATCCCAGTAGCCCAATATACTAGAAATGACGCTGACACCTGTACACATGTGTCAAGGCCTTTCAATACCCATCCAAGGCTTGGATCCGAGTTCTTAATGGTCTGACCTGCACTTGAAATAATAATTTTAATAAAGCCTAGAGTAGCTGATTTATAAATGTGTTTCTAAGGCTGAGCCTTCCCTCAGAGGGATCCTCTTGGCTTGAGGAGGGATCCCCACTGACGTTCTAGGTGTAGGGGGGCTAAACTGATTACTCATGCGTCTTCCTGGGCTCTGGTTATAAGCTTACTGCATGCTCGTGAGTTAGCAAGCTGCCAATTCTGTTACTGTCATAGCCAAAGGCAACAAGTAAACTTGTGTTAGGGGATTGTTCTCCCCAGGCTGCTAGATTCCAGCACTGCCATGACCCCTGATGGTATGGCAAAGAGCAAGGGCTGTCCCATGACAGTGAAGACAGTCAACATGGGAATAATTCCCCTCCTGTCCCTGCTGCGGGATTGCTGGATGTGGAAAGGCATGTGCTGAATGGTACAGCTTCTGATGAGAAGGGAGAGGGAAAGGAGCTGATAGAAAAGGGAAAGGAGCTGGCTGGGCGTGGGGCAGGGCTGCTTGCCACCGCCTTGTGCGATTATCTGTATGAGAGTGGGTAGCTGTGATTTTGTTTTCATCAGAATCATCTGGAGTTGGGGCTATTCATCCTCATCATCACTGTCATCATTATCCTCTTCATCAGAATTATCATTGTCATCATCATCATTGTCATCATCGTCATCATCTTCATCTCCATTGTCATCATCTTCAGTGTTTATCTTTCCAGAAAGCACATCCTCAATCCAGTCTTCCAGCTCCTCGGCTGTGGGCAGGTCATCGTCATCTGGAATATCCATCCAGACACTGTCAGCCTGCAGTGCGGGACAGAATGAGTGAGTGAGGGCATGCATGAAGGTCGAGCTGGACCAGAGAGTTCCAAGTAGCTGTGCTGAATTGGCCCCTAGTTCTCTTATATTTATCAGGAATGTACACATTGTTAAATGGAAATGCCAAGTTGGAGAATGGTGTGTATGTAGTATTCTATTTGTGTAACATAAAAGGAAATGTGTATTCCATTACCCAATGGAGTATATGTATGAAGTTAGAACATCCACCTGCCAATGGTTCCCCCAGGGAAAGAGACCAGGGATTGGCTCAGGCCAGTGGGAAATACTTTTCCTCTTCACCATCTATCCTACTGTTCCATTTTAAAATGATTTAAACTTGAGCATATTTTTAAAATTACTATTATTGTTGTTAATTTTAAAAGAGGTTTACAAAATAAATGAATATAGAGTTTCCTAAGTGACTGAACAACTACCAACAGGGCAAAAGGGCATTGCTAACTGGCCCCTGTTCCCAAGAGGTCCCACCTCAATTAATTATGACTCTGATGATCCTCTGTGATCATCATCATCGTCATCATCATGTATCTGTGGCCATTTCTGTTTTGTTATGGTAGGTTGTATCAGATGTCTGGACTGAGGTCTAAAATTCCTCATCATCTACCAGTGCACCTACTGGCCTGTCCCACCTGCAGCTCAGTGGTGACTGAATTGTGAAGAGAATCCTCTGACACATGATTTTCTTCCTTCTCTTTTATAAGCCTGGTCTCCTGGTCATGGAGTGGTTGCCTGGGCTTCTGGGCCACAACCTCCCCGTTACCCATGCTGCAATGACAGCTCTAGGTATGGATTCCCTCGTATAGAGAGACCTTGTCCCAGACCCTGTTTGGCTTTGGGAGGAAATATGAGAGAGTTTACTTAGGTGGAAAGTTCTAAATCAGGGAGTTGGGTCAGGCCAGTCCCATAGCAAGGAGATATGCCCACGGAAGAAAGCCATGGAACCATAGATTGGGACTGGCTCAGACACCAGGCCAAAGCCACACTGGCCAGTTTCCTGAGCTCAGGCAGGACCAAAAGTTCTGCTCTTTTCTGAAGGAACTGACTCCTATGGATGATCCCACAATCTAGGCTGCAGAGCAGAAGACAGGGCAGGCTGAGTGTGCCTGAGCAAGCCTTCATGGGGACACTCACATCTGTCACATTCACCACCCCAATCTGTGGCCTGAATAGGTCAATCTTGAAGGTCTTCTCCCAGTAGGCAATGAGCTGCAGCAACAAAAAAATAAGATTAGACAGCAGGCAGGAGGCAATCCTTGTTAAAGCAACTTTGTGTGGCTGGACCCACCCAGCATCCCATCACAGTAACTAGGTCACCATTGGTGAAAGGGCTCAGAAACAGCTGTGGGCACTTAAGAAATTGAAGACTTGGCCCCAGCCCTCAAGCACTTTAAATTTAAAACATTAAATAAAAGATGTCATAACACAAACTATGAAAACATGTAATATATAAGCTTCTACAGCTGTAAAGAAGAATGTTACAGAGATAGTCCAATGTTGATTCCCAAATTACTTGTGGCTCTTTCAATAGTTTACAGAGCCATTTCCTTCCATCTCTCTTTCAATGTTCCATTTTAAAAATCCCATATCTTGTGCCACTCTGCTACATGAGAAGGCTGGGGAAGCCATGACGTGCCCTAAATTGACACAAGTAAGAAAAGGGCTTCTTCATTCAGGCAGGCATGGGCTCCATGTGGACAAATCTCCAACTGGGGCAGGACTAAAGGAGCAAGAGGTGACAGGGCTAAGAAAACAATCAGGGGTAGACAATCAGTGGGGGAAAGTCATCCTGGCAAATATATGGCCTGATGGGAACTGGGGATATTCAGGTACCTGGGAATCAGGATAGTCTGAAGTTTTCTCCTTTTCAAAAACCAAGGCAAACATATAGAACTGGCCAGGGGAATTGCAGACCATCTGCAAGCTTGCGTAACAAAACAGTCAAACTAGAAATACAACGAGGCAGAAGCTAAATAAACAAAGCTGTGCCGTATGCAGTCTTGCATGGCCATGACGTTGTTATTATTACTCAGTGTGATGACATTGGGCTGAAGGGTCAGGGAAGTCTCTGCCTTTGATTCACACATCCTCTAGGTAGCATTGGGTTTCAGGACCCTTGAGATCACTAAAATATCTCTATTTTTCTCTACTTAATCACAGTATCATCAGTCATGACCTATGCAATTAATGATAATTCCCAAAATATAAAGTTATAATTTATAGCCTAATGATAACTAAACTTGTACTGATTACCAACAGTTTGGACTTACCTAAAGCAGTCACTAGATAGACCAAGTTTTGTCATCACGTAGACCTAGGTTGGAATATCACACCTGCTATACTTATTAGCTTTAACCTCTTTAGCTATCATTTTTTCATCTGTGTGATGGTGGTTATAATTGTACCTACTTTATGGAGTTGTTGAGAGGATCAGCTCTGATGATGTGTGTAAAGAACTTATGGAAAAAGTTCAGACGCACAGTAAAGTGTATTTGCTAACTTCATTGTCTTTACCACTGGCTTCGATTCATGTGTCATACAAATTCTGTTTATTCTTTTTAAAACTAAGTATAATTAAAGCATTCTGGCCATGGATTACTGACACTTACAAGAGCTTGGATTTCAAAGTTCCTACACATTCAACAACACTATACTAAGTCCCGGGAGAATACAGTGAACAAGAAAGACATGCTCTCTGCCCTCAAAGAGGTTCCTCCTTCTCTCCATGAAGTTCTTAACTCTATGAAAAATGTTCATCTCTGATATCTGGTACTTAGTAATTCAGGTTGCCTCCAAGTGAGGGTCCCACCCAGGAAATAAAAGGGGTTCTAGCAAGGGGTAGCGGTGGGGTGGGAGGCAGCTATGGAGCTGCTGCAAAAGGAATCCACCCTGCTCACTTGGGTGTTTCTGCCACCAGCCCCCCAAAAGGGTCTCCAACCCGGGTCTCAAGGATGAGAACAGTAAGTCTAGCCATTTCAGCGTCTACACCAGGTTCCAAGTTCAATGCTTGACCCCTAAGGTCCAGATCTTTCACACTGGATGGAGGTGGCCACTGGGTTTCTTCACGTGCCCCTACCTATTTCACCTCCTCCTTCATGTGCAAGGGTCTTATGCTGAGCACAAACGTGGGACTGTGGAGGGGAACATGGGCAGGGCCCTGGCTGGAGCCACTCACCAGAGGAAAGTCATCCGGGTCGATCCACAGGATGCTCAGGTCGGGGTTGTCGGTGTTGTCCCGGGCAACCTGTTTCAGGATCTCTAGGAACTCGTAGCCATCTGAAGCAGGGTTCAAGAAAGTTGAGCAACCCCTACACATACATGGCTTCTAACACGAACAGCACAGTGCGGTTTTTCCACAACGGGTTAGGCCATTTGGTTTATACTCTCGATTACAGGATTATTCTATAAAATGAGTCAGATGGGAGCTCCAGCCACAGAGCAGCTTATACAAAGGAAACAATAAAAAAAATTTGAACAAAGGATTAAAAGTTCATAGGGAACTGGCTGGTTTTTAACTGAAAGCCAAGCTCCCTTTGTTCATCTGTATGTGAAAACTGACCGGTCTTGGGTCAGAAATGTCAGTGCCAAAACAGAGAACCCCTTCCTGCCCTCACAGATCCTGTGCCATCTCTTAAAACAGATAATTTGCTATTGCTCAGAGACCCCCATAACATTTGCTCTATGGACCAAGAACACTTAAGCCCAGACCCTTAGTTTTCCATGACCTGAGATTCCTACAACCTTCAAACTTAGTGAGCTTGTGATTTACAGTTGGTTTCGTAGCTTTGAGATAGTAAGTGGGGTTTCCCTCCCTCTCTGACCATTTCCTTGTATACAGTGCCCTCCCTCTGTTCAGGCAGCAGCCTTCATTTCCCCCAGGGGAGGGATGATTCATAAGAAAAGCAGAGACAGGCCTTACAAGCCTCAAGAACACAAGCTTTTTAACCTCACAAACCTAAACCTTGCAAGAATGGGAGCACACAATTTTTGCCACAGGCAAAAAGTTTAGGAGGACGTTTAGTAAGAGATAGCATATTCTCTGCCCACAGCACCACTGCCCCACCTCAGCTAGAAACAGAGAAAAGAGTTGAGATCCTGGAAGTTCCTGAGAATAAGCTCTCTGCCTGTGTGTGTGTGTGTGTGTGTGTGTGTGTGTGTGTGTGTGTGTGTGTATGTGTGCATGTGCAGGAGCACAAGCTATGTGTGTCCACATACATGATCTCCATAGTTTTAAGGAATCCCAGAGTAGAGGAGACTCATGCTTTGTTTCAGAATGAAACTCAGGAAAATGGAAATACCCCAGAATCCCTTAGAGAGTCCCTTAGTGTGGGAGCCCTAGGGCAGAGCAGCCTGTCGGAAGACCCCACCAGAGTCCCCCCTGGTTCTGAGGAATATGGACAAGCCGAGAGTGGAGGCTGATGGGAAGCAGTCCCGCAGCTGGGACGGACAGGACCAGTGGTAACCTGCTTGCAGCAAGAGTCAGATGTCGGACAGGACGACAGACTTCTTTGTAGATGCCAGTGTGGACAGATGACGGTGACTCCGGCCAGATGTACACCCCACCCAGCTATGGCTGGGAACCGGAAACACCCCCGGACCCCTTGGAGAGTGGCGTGGATGTGGGGACCATCAATTGTCAGACCCAGTTTCCACCATTGAGTGGCATACAGCTCAAAAAAAGAAAATTTAGATTCAGTTCTAAACAAGTTACATTTCTTGCATAGCTGAATTTTTGGCCTGAAATTTATACCTTTAATACAAGCAACTCCCCAGCTGCTTGGGAATTCAGTGTGGTAACTGCTTTTTCATTATAAAGCTTTTCTTCTTTTGTCCAGAGTCCTAGCAAACCTGAGCTCCACTCTGTGGCCTTTCACAAGCCTCTCCTTCCTCCAGGCACGCTAGCCTTTGTTTGACTATTTCAGACTCTTGGTAAAGGTTTTTCTACACACTTCCTTATCTCTAATACATTCCAGGCAAAATGAATACTATTCTTAGCAGCGCTGCTTTGAGCTGGTGTAGTCACGTTAAGTGTTGCCAGCTCACCCTGAAGACTCAGATGGAGCCCCCCAAGCCTTATTACTTGGAGAGAAGAGCGACCTCTGGTGGAGAAGAGGTTGCTTTTTGTGTCTTGCAGCCCCTTCCTGCAGAGATGCAGGGTTGGTCTAGGTGAGTTTTGGGGTTGCAGGGTTGGTCTAGGTGATTTTTCAACCTCTGCTCATTATTAACTATATTACAAATGAGATTACAGGTCAGACACCTAAAGTTGACATGGCCCAATGCTTTAGAGTGCATTTATCTATCATTGCAGGGATCGGGGTGGAGGTGGGGCAGGGGTCCTACTCTTGCTGCCTGGAGGTGTGGCTGAGAAGGTGAAGCCCTTCCAGAGTGTCACTGGTGTTTTGTATGAACACCATGGCTCCTCCTCTGGGAACGTGACCGTGTCACAGGAGAGGAAAATACGGTGCCACCTTGGTTATCTGTAGTCTTAGGGATCATAATACACAGACTACCAGGGGGAATCCCACCCAAACAACTTCAGTTGCTGTTTTCAGCTGCAGAGAAGAAAGGAATGACAAATGAGGTGACATTGCCAGGACTCTGAAAGATGAAAGAGACTCAAATGTAAAGGTGACCTTGACAAATCTGAAATTCACAAATGGGGTGAAATTCAACAGCACAGACTCAAATGCAAGTACAAGGTGAACTTGAGGTGCATAAAGGATGGGGAGAGACTGTCCAGGCACAGTGTTGTATAGGGGCAAGATCTGTGATCAGAGGCACAAGCTGAATGTGCAACATAGTGCTGTAGTTTTCTGATGGGAAAAACTCACAGAATATTGGGATTTATAAAAACAATTATTAGGTACAAGAACATATATATTACATTCCTACTCTATATTCTAGAGCAAGTTTAGAGATGAAAAGAAAGATTAGAAAAACAAAATTGAGATCTGCAAGAAAAATCAAATGGACTGTAGTTTTTACATAAACAAGAGAAGTCAAAAGTCAAAACATGAAATGTTTGTATCTACAGAGGAACAAGGAAATCTTAAAAACCATTCATATAATAAGTTGACAAGTAAGGTTTACATGAAAGCTGGAGAAGTTTCATCTAGATCCAAGGGCAGCTTTTTGACTTTCAGGGAGATAGATTCCATCATGAGCGACCATCTAGGTTCCTGAATATTTTCAATAGCAGAACACAGCCTGTTGTTCAGGGAGGCAGCCCAGTATGACACTTAAACACACAGGCTCTGGGGCCAAATGACCTTGCCTCAAATCCTGGTTGTGCACTTAGCGTGTGACTTAGGGCAAGTTATTTAATGTCTTGTTCCCTTGTCTGTAAAATGGGGATGATGACAATAATGGTATCCATTTCATAAGGTGGTTGAGTTAAATGAGTCAGCTTCTCTGAAGCACTTAGTGCCTGGCATACAGTAAGGCTTAGCCATTATTCTTCCTAAATTATCTGACATTCTTATGTCCGAATGCAAGAAAGCTGGATGGAACCCTCCAAACCTGGCCATTCATCTGTTCATTCAATACGAATATAAAGTGCAGTGATCTGGGCACCGAGAGTGGGTTAGTTACAGTTTTGGATCCATGTGGTAGAGAAGATGCTCACAGAAAATTCCACCAAGACAGTATATCATGGGGCAGTTCCTTCCGCTACTGTTGCAACTTCTGTGACTGAAGGCTTCAGGGAGGGTAGTGCCAGCTAGTGTGACTATGAGAACCTGCCTTGATCGCAGGGTTAGAGTAAGGTTTAATTCCTTTGTTTTTAGGCATTAGCTCACTTGGGGTTTCCTGATTTGAAGCTTACAAGCCTCAGAGGCTCTCCCCTCTTCAGACCCCAGCCTTCAGCCTGGACCTATTTGAATGAATTCTCATGCATCTGGGAAAGCTGAGCTAAGGCAGCTCAACTGATCTCACATGTATTCAGTTGCTAAAATTGTAAATCAGAAGTTCAATTTCCCCTAAAGAGAGTTCTGCTTCTGGCTGTGTGGAAGCTCCAGCCTGTAATCCTAGCACTCTGGGAGGCCAAGGTGGGCGGATCACTCAAGGTCAGGAGTTCAAAACCAGCCTGAGCAAGAGCAAGACCCTGTCTCTACTAAAAAAAAAAAAAAAATAGAAATTAAGTGGCCAACTAAAAATATATATTTTAAAAAATTAGCTAGGCATGGTGGCACATGCCTGTAGCAGGAGGATCGCTTGAGCCAAGGAGGTTGAGGTTATTGTGAGCTAGGCTAATGCCATGGCACTCTAGTCAGGGCAACAAAAGTGGGACTCTGTCGCCAAAAAAAAAAAAAAAAACCCCAGTTCTGCTTCCTTGTAAAACTGGCAGACACTCTGGAAAAGGTAAACATCCACTGTGGATCTTCCCTTTTCGACCAGGAAGCGGCAGGTGTAGGAAGTCAGATTTCACTCCTATGGTTCAATGTTACCCACAGGAATGGTTCACAGTTGTAATTACATGAATGAATGAATGAGTTTGCAGTGAGTAAATATTTCCTTTGTTAGTGATGGGTCTAGCTTAGAAGTCTTTTAAGATTGTAACCACTTATCTTTCAGAGAGAATAGCCCATAACTAAAAAAAAAAAAAAGTCGGTCAAGAAAAAGAGAAAATACTCAGAGATTTGTAGGCTAACAGTTATCTGGACATAGCAACTACAGGACTATTCTCTGCAGTTATTAGAAAAGCACCAATTCTTAAAGCCAGAAGAGACCCCCAAACATCTCAAATATACAGGTAGATATGATCGGCCCCATTCAAAACATTTTCCTGTCTTGTCTCTTGAATATTTCCAGGGCTGAGACCCTTTGACCTTCCTAAAGCTGACTACAGAATTGGCAATTCTAACATCCAGGAGACTTTTTCTCGCTTCTAACTGAAATCTCCTGTTTTCCCAAGAAGTTCACTTCTTTACGGACACAGGACATTATTCTTCATACACAGAAAGTGTGTAATCATGCCTCCACAACCTTTATCTTATGAGTATTTATTGATCATCATGCCTACACAATCTTTGTTTCATGAGTATTTATTGATCACTTGCTGAGTACTTTTGCATTTAATCTTTATATTTAGTCTTGATGGAGGTTAGGAAGATTTTCTTATCTCCATTTTTTAAAAGGATGGAATAGAGACCCAGGGAGAATAAGTAACTTGCCTGGCATCACGTGGGAGCGAGTGCTAGCTCAGGGGGGGTCTAACTCAGGTCTTCGGTCTGCCCATCTAGAGCTATTTCTATGATCTCTGCCCTCTGAGGTCTCCGAACTCCTACCAATGTGGCTGCCGCCTTCCTTCTTCAAGTTTGTGCTTGAGATCCCCCAGCCCAGGGGGAAAGCTTCAACGTCAGGGAAGCAGGGGCTGGGACGCTGAGAAACTGCCCACAGGTGCAGCGGGGTGCTGGTGGCTGGCCTTGCCTCGCCCATGGGTAGACCCTTCCCTGCTTCTAACCACGCTGCCAAGTCCTCTCGTCCCACAGCCGCAGCATGAGTGGCTGCGTAACTCCGTGATGGCTCCGAGTGGGACTGGAGTCTCAGAGACGGACCTAAATAAGGAAGAGGGACCTGGGGCTGTGGGAACTGCCATTCCTTCCCTGCCACACGGGCTTTCAGTCCTGAGAGTCCTTGACCCAGGGCTGAGGGACGCACGATCAGCCAGAAGGTTTCCCACGGCAGGAGAGTGGCCTCTGGGAATCACATCTTTGTGGGAGGAGAAGCCAGTGATTATCCTCTCCCGTTTCCCTGGCAGGGACTGGTGGGAATGAGGCTGCACCAGGCCCTGGGGGACCAGCTCTAGGCCAGGCACAGCCATTTCAGGAGCCACAGTCCCCCTCAGCAGAGGCACTTGTGTCTCAACCCAGCAGTCGCCCGGGAGCAAACAGGCCCTCCGCTTGCTGCCCACCCTGCCCTGCCTCCCGGCCTCATGTCCCCACTTCCTGGGGAACTGGCCGTGCTCACTCCACACAGGCACTGGGAGAAAGCCTCCCTGGCTCCGTGCCTCGGGTCTCTGCCCTGGGAAGAGAGGCCTAGGCTCGGGAGAGCTGAGCTCTCAGAGTGGGGGCCTGACATTGCTCGTGGGGCAGATGGATAATAAGTGGCAGGAGCTGGCATCACGCAGCTTGGAGGCTGTGTCTGGAGAGGGCACAGGTCTGAAGTGTGAAGATGTTGCATAGTCACTTAACCTCTCTGAACTTCCATTTCCTCCTCTGAGCATGGAGAGACGAGCTGTCTCATGATCTCACAGGCTTGTTGACAATAGCAGGAGACTATCATTATGGCGTGAAGATCGTGAGGCATAGGCAGAGTGGCCATAAAGACTTTCTCTGCCTTCTTCTTTTCCCTCTTCTACACATCAACCTTTTATTCATTTTAAGCTTTCTTCCCCTCTACTTTTGTCCTTCCCTGATGGGAGGGGTTCAGTTTTTCATGAGGCAGGTATGTTTTGAGTGCCCACAATGTATCAGGCCTAAGGCCAGGTGCTGAGACACAAAGGTGTATAGGGCAGGTGTCTGCCCTCAGGTCCTTGCCCAGAAAGGCTCCTGAAGCCAGAGCCCACTCAGTAGGTGTGGAATTCTCAACCAGCAGCATGGCATCTGGACTTGGGCCCTTAGGAAAGCCTCGAGGGGACAGACAAGGCTGGGAGCTCTCTTCCGACAAGACAGAGTTGCCAAGAAGTCACCAGTGAGAGTGAGACATCCACGTAGGACGGGACATTACTGGGCCCCATGCCTTTGAGATGGCACTTGGGACACATGAATACCCTGCCACTCCTTACCACAGCCCTCTTTCTCTGCTCTGTCTTCTCTTGGTCCTCAGATCCCAGAATTGGTGAAAAAGTCACATGATACACTGTCATGATGGAGACAGGCTTAAGGCAGTGGCCACAGAGCCCAGACTTGGAGCTGGACTGCTGGGTTTGAACGCCACTTCCACCACTTACTATCCACGTGAGCCTGGGCCGTTAATGAACTTCTCTGTGCCTGTGTTTCCTCATCTGTACACTGGGAAAGATGATAACAACAGTACCTGCCACACTGGGCTGTTGGGAAGATTAAATGCATTGATGTTTGTCAAGTGCTTGGAACAAGGTTTAGCACACAGTAAGAACTCAAAGTTAAATTTGAAAAACCGAATTTAAATTTGAAAGCTCAAAGAAGCAGTTAGTGTTCCTATTTAGGACAACTGGTCTCAAAAACATTTTACTCTAGCACCTGAGGCCATCAATGCTCAGGAGGAACAGGGCTTGGGGACCTTCCTTCCAGGCCCCATCACTAATTCTGTTCCGCGCGCGACAGCAGCCTGTCCTTGCGTTTCCAGCTTGTTAGCGCTAATATTCCCGCTGCCCTTGGAGGATATCCATCCAGCACGCACTCATGTAGAAACGCCGCTTTGCAAAGCTTTCATCAAGTGTCGTAAAGAAGATGTCAGTCTGACACAGGCACATCTGGGGGCGGCAGGGAAGAGAGTCGTTCATTTTCAGACCTGTCAAACCAGCAGCTCTGGCCGGCTCTCTGAGCACGGGGCCTGGGGAAGACTGGCAGCCGGCGAGGGCAGAGCGGAGCAACGTCCTTCCCAGCCAGGCCCGCCTGCCCGGGCGACAGCGTGCAGCAGGAGAGACCCAGCGTGACCCTCCAGGCCGTGGGAGCAGACCCTGCCTCCTCCCCGGAAGGCCGCCTGCCCTCGGCTCTCCACAGGGGTGAGCACAATCTAGTGGCTGTGAACGTCATGTTGGAATTGCTAGGAGAGAGTCCTTGGGGACCCGGGTCGCTGGCACAGGCATTTGTTGCTGCTGCTGTATAATCTTAATCAGAGGACAGGCAGTCGGAGGAAGTCGGGCTTTTCTTCACTAACCCAGCTCCTCTGCTCTCTTCTCACTTCCCTGTCCCGCCCCTACTCTCCCCTCCGGCTAGGTAACCTGTGGCAGCACTGCGCATGCTCAGAGCCCGCCCGGCCGGGACCTTGCGGGGGAGGTGGTGTCACAGCGTCCTAGCGGGTCGGTGCCCAGAAGGAGCCCTAACCCGACGCGCTGTGCCTATAACCCTGAGACCTTGACCACGCCGTTGAACTTCTCTGGATCTCCGATTTCTCGCCTTTCCCAGTTGCAGGTGGAGAAGGTGAAGGCCGGCAGAGGGACGAGGCGGGCTGAAGGATCACAGCATGTCACCAGGTAGTGATTCCGAGAGGCACAAGTCTGTAGCGCGGCCTCCCTGCTCAGGATGTGGGCTGAGAAGCCAGCCTGATTCCGACTCCATGGCTTTCCAGCGAGGTAAACTCTCTGGGCCTCAGCTTCCTCAGTTGTAAAATGGGAATAAAAATGGTACCTCCCTCATGGGGTGGTTGTGTCAGATAAGCACACAGTAAGTGACAATCATCACCTTCATCGCAGTCAGGACGCCTTTAGAGGTCAAGAAAGCCTGCTAGAATTTGAATCTTGGCTTAGAAGATGAGTGATTTGGGCAAGTTATTTAACCTATACGACGCTTTTCTCAACTGACACTGGCATAATAAGAATCATACACGTTAGAGTGGCTTTAGGGACTAAATGAGATCAACTATGTAAAGCTCCCAGCTTAGCTTCTCCACACTGTTAGCTCTTTAAGAACTGTTATTATTTTCTTGGATGTATGACCTTCCCTTGCAGGGGTAGCAGTTTGGTTGGGACAATAGGCTGTGTGTAACTCAGCAAGAGCAAAGGTATCCAGAGGAGCTGTCGTTTTGCAGGAATGAATTCCTAGTCCTGCAGCCAGGCCCCTCACCCTCGGCTACACACCAGTGCCCTGCAGGAAAATCACTGATTAACCACAGAGTCAGAGTCAGAGACTTTCACAGACAAGCCTTTCCCTTTCCCGGCCCAGCCCAGAGGAGCACGGCCTTCCCTCACTGAAAGAAGAGGCTTAGAGAGCCCCTGTCCCTCCCCCACACTCACCTCAGCTGCTATACTGCTTATAGCTTCCCAGTGACAAGCCCCAGCTTGGGCCCTTTTGGGGAAAGGCACAGCTTGGGGCCCAGGGATATTTGTGCAAGGAGGAGGTGGAAGTAGTTTCAGGAGTTTGATTCATTAGAGCAGCAATCTCCGTCAAACAGGTTCTTGCAACTCCAGAGAAGCCTCTTTGTTCCATTGTTTCAGAGAGCCAGACAGGCCTCCCCACAGTCCTGGAAGGGGCAGGTGGGGGGGAAGGAAGCCCCCTGGAGTCTGGCCAGCAGGCTGCTGCCCATGGCAACTTCATCTCTGTTCACTCAATGCCAGGGATCTGATTCTGTTTGATTACACCGTGTAAACCCTAGGCAACCGGCTTCCTTTGTTGTTTGCTCCTCCAGGAGGAGAGGAGTGGCCAGAATCTGTCCAAGGAAGCTGAAACCACACTTGGTAGTTTTTTTTCTTTTGGACAAAGACTAGATTTCCTTGAAGAGTTTTTCCAACTCTGTAAGTCTGTGGTGGAAAATCTGGCACATCAATGGACATTTAAAAAGTTTAATGAAAAAGGCAGGAGAGCTCTCACATAATTTGGAACCTAAATTTTGTTTTGAAACAATGGAATATTATTCAGCCCTAAAAAGGAATGAAGTTCTAATACATGCTATATAATTCATATGCCTTAAAAACATCATGCTCAGTGAAAGATGGCAGCACAAAAGGCCAGATATTATATGTTTCTATTTATATGAAATATCTAGAATAGGGAAATCTTGGAGGTAGTAAGTAGTGGTTGCAGAGGTGGTAGGGAATGGGAGTGAATACTGATGGGATTAGATAGTTTGCACAACTTTATGAATATACTAAAAATCACTGAACTGTATACTTTAAAAGGGTGACTATTATGATATGTGGATTCTACTTGATTTTAAAAACTCAGGTTTCAGTCTGTAAGAAACTATGGAGGCTGATAAAGTATTACCAAAAAAAAAAAAAAAAACTGCTCTGAGAGTGAAGAAATTGGGGCTTAGTCTGGGTCAGGCATCACACTATCTAATCATCTGCCCAACAAATATTTATTGAGCACCTACCATGCATGTGTCAAGGCACTGTGTGAGAATAAGGTACATATCAATGAACAAGATAATCTGCCCCTCCATGATCTGCCACTGTGTTCTCTTGGGTAGTTTGTTTAACTTCTCTGAACCTCCGTTTCCTGGTGTATCCAGTAGAAGTCATCTCTAGATTTCTCCCTAGGAGTGTACAAGAGGCCGAGATCCCTAGCAAATACCATTTACTGTTGAATTCTGCATTACATGGAACTGTGATTCCCAGACCTGATGGTGCATCAGAACTTGCCACAGGGCCCAGTAAAATTACGGCCTCCTGAAGGTGCTGTCTCAGCCAAACAAAGCCAGCCCGAGGTGGCTTTGGTGCTTGCAGTTCTGTGCATCATCAGGGTTTGGAATGTCAGCCCAAGCACCTCAAGGCCCAAGGCCTGGCTGCTAATCCATCCCAAATGAAGATCCGTGTCTTCTCTGTTTGCATTCTGGATTGTTCCAGATTTTCCAAAACACATTTCAGAATCTCCACTTGCATTTTCCCTTTAGGGGCCCTATGTCTCACAGAGCACTGCCATAGGGATCTAGCATTTCACCACCTACAAAATTAATTGTTCCTGTGCTTCACTCTCCACCAGTGTTGAAAAGAGTGAAACCAGGGAAAAGTTGTCCAAGTTCCAAAAATAAAGTTACTCATTTATAGGGTCATCCCGTACTTTTAAAATCAGTTGCTTGTTTTGTCCAGTTCTCATTATTTAGTGGAATATTTTCTATTTAGTTTTCTAAGCACAGACAATATTTTATGGATCAAAGTATACATTTATAATTATTTTAAGGTAGGATTATGATTTATATAGGCTAGATCACAATATTGGTAAATAAACTTTCAATGTGAACAGAACTTCACACACACACACACATACATTCATAAAGCTAGGATGTTCTCATAACCTCTCCAGTGCCTGGTTCTCCTTCTTAGTTTGGGCAGCTAAATGGAATATTTGAGAGTCTGATCTGTCCACACCTTCTCTTCCCTTAGTTATGAGCACAACTGAAAACAGACTCACACCTAACGGGCGACCACCAGGGGGTGCCCAACATCTTGCGGTTAGATTGTAGGTGGAAGTGAGGGAAGAGACAGGTGAGGGCTGACAAAGGTGAGAAGTCAGTTTTTGACAAAGGCATAAAAGAGGCAATTGAGGACTTCCTACCTGGGTCACTCTTCTCTGCAAACGCCACAATGTGGATCCCATTTATGTCATCTTCCTGTAGGAGAGAAAAATCAAAGATTATACTCCCAGGTGAAAAGATATGAAGGAATGAGCCAGGGACAGGGACGCAGAGGCTGGCATGGAAAAATAGGGAGGTAGGGAGAGGTGTGGGAGGGGGTGTGGACACAGAGGTGCAGAGGTGGAGCAGTGCACAATGGAGGAAGGGGATGCTGATGAGCAACTGGCAGGAATGCATGCGATTTTGATCAGGGATCCGGATAAATGAAATGGCAAGACAGGAAAACACCAACTACAAAACAAGACATGAACGCTAAATGGGTCTCACTCCCGTGGTCTTGTGGGTCCAGGAATGCAGCAGCAAAAGGCAAAATGAGGAAGAATGTGAGTGTGGGTTATCAGGAGCTATAAAATCAACAGTCACTCTGGAGGCAGCTCAGCAAAGGCAGCTGTCAGCCTCAGTTTGAACAATTCACCACCAGCGATATAATCGGTCATGCACCAGATTGTGAAAACTTATGAATGCTGCGGACATATCTGGAAACTGTCCCCAAATGAGCAGCAGACAGGAATCAATTAGGTCAACTGAGGTCAGCGAGGATATGGGTCATTGTTGTTTACATGAGAATTGTGTGTAAGTGTAGCACTTCTGTTTAGGACTCCACCAACACGTCTTATTGAAGAAACAGAACCCAATGGGGGACACTTTGCTGAATATGACCTCCAAGTGGTTTCCTTGGGGTCCTTTCTGTTCTCTCCCCAAAGCCTGTCAAATCAGTATAGGCCCCCAAAGCACCTCTATGAGTGTGGGATGCTCCAGGAAGAGGCTGGAAGTTGGGCCTGTGGAAAGTTGAGCATGTGCGACTGAGAAAAGTGGGTATGGCTATGGGGGCAGGGGTAAGGAAAACAAACTAGAGAGAGTATTTTAAATCTATGGGCAAGCAAACAGCATTTCATGTTTCTATGCCCTGGACAGAAAGGACCACGTGCCTTATACGCCTTGCATCTCTTCTGCATTGGTTGTTCCTGGAGAAAGAAGAGCAATAGCTTGGAGGGGCCTGTGTTATAAGAAATGTGATCTAGGCCAGGTGCAGTGGCTCATGTCTATAATCCTAGCTTTTGGGAGGCTGAGACAGGAGGATCACTTGAGGCCAGCAATTTGAGACCAGCCTAGGCAACAAAGTGAGACCCCATCTCTACAAAAAATTTTAAAAAATTATCCAGACATGGTGGTGCATGCCTTTTGTGCCAGCTACTCAGGAGGCTGAGGCAGGAGGATCACTTGAGCCTAAGAGTTCAAGGCTGTAGTGAGCTATGATGGTGTCACTGCACTCCAGCCTAGGAGACAGAGTATGACCCTATCTCTAATATAAATAAATAAATAGGAGCCTGGGAGGAATATGTGTGAGAACGAGGCACCTGGGGACAAAACCAGGCGAATACTGATTACGGCAGACATGGGAGAAGGATTCACTGGGACCCTGAATGTCATATCAGAATCATCCTATGGAAAAAGCACCAGGCGTCTCAACCCTCCCATGATCTCTGTTTCTATTTCAATTGATTTTAATGCTGGTGCAATCCTATCTAAATGCTAATTTTTTCCTTTGAGTTTGGAATGGACAAAACCTCCAAAAATTCTAAGAGAGATTAAATGGAAAATATTATTATTAAAAACAAGGGAGTGGGCACTGCCTTGGTCAGATTCTGTGGGAAATTGAATTTTACAGATATATATGTGTGTGTGCACGTGTGTGTGCTAGTTTATTACACAAATCCGACAGCAAGCAGAAGGCGAGTCTGAGGTTTCACTGTTTTACATTTGCTATTATCGCCAGACAGAACATCCCAATCGGTTCTCATTAGGCTGTTCTCTGCCCCGTCTCCTGCCGTCAGTTGGAAGTGCGTGCTGCTAACTCGGCGAAGCAGGCTTCATTTCTGTGTGCCCTTCTAGGACGCACGTGGAAATTGGTTTTAGAATCAAGAATCTATATTTGTTTTCTAAGAGGCCACTCATAATACGGCTGTCACTCCCAGACCAGAGACAGTCCCCGGATGGAGAACTGTCACCAAGGAGAAGAGTGTTTCTTTGTGTGTCTCAGAGATTCAGCACACAAACCTGCCTTGCACACCCTCGAAGAAGCAGGCCTGTGCTAGGAGCCAGGTATTTTCAGTAATAACCTCACAGAGCAAGAGTCCATGGGCAAACTGCTGAGTGCGGGTTACTCGGCAAGAACCCAACGTGCACGGGGAGGAGGAGACGCCCTGACAGCAGGACAGAGCACGGCCAGGGACTTCCTCTGCACCCCACAGCCTTTGCTACCCTGATCGCCCATTTGGACCTTAGATTACATTGCCTTGGGAATTCTTTTTAATTGCACACATCTTCCCTCCTCAACTGGATGGCAAGCTCTCTGAGGGAAGGGCTTATGCCTTAAAATAACAATGATGATTAAATGGCAATAATATCTGCCATTTGCCACTTTTTATGTGAGTACCATGTAAGTCTATGATCTTGAAATCTCAAATGAAAGCCACTCCTATTTAATGCTTACAGAATTGTAGTGACTTACACAGAGCTGCAAGTCACAGAAGTGGGATTCAAGCCGGTGTGTCTGGCCCTACAGCACACAGTCTTTGTTCATTCAGGCTGGGTAGCTTATAAACAATAGAAATTTATTTTTCACTGTTCCAGAGGCTGGGAAGTCAAGGCACCAGAAGATTCGGTGTCTGGTGAGGGCCTGCTTTCTGGCTTATAGACGGCACCTCCTGTGTGTCCTCACGTAGTGCAAAGGTCACTCGTGGCTCTCTGGGGCCTTTTTTATAAGGACACTGATCCCATCATGAGTACAGAGCCTTCATGACCTAATCACCTTCCCAAGACCTTACATCCTAATACCATCCATCCCCTTGAAGGTTAGGATGTCAACATGTGAGTTTTGGGGGGACACAAACATTCAGACCATAGCACCCAGACTCTTTTTTTCTCATCACCATGAGCAGTAGAACAGGCTCCATAAACCGATGGCTCCGCTGCAGGGTTTGCAGAAGGTGCTGCAAACTCAGATCAGTGGCTCTTACTTAAGTTGAAAGAAGCAGAAAAGGGACTTGTATATAAAGTGACTGAGCACAAGATCCCCCAAAGAACAGGAGACTTGGGAATGACTTTGATGGACACCTTCCTCTGGACTCCCCAGCACGTTGTACTGCCCTCTGTCGCAGCAGGAAGCATACTGGGCTGGTGTTATGTGTCCTCAGACTGTTTCATCTACTCAGCCCTGAGCTTCTATGGACAGGACAGCCACATTCATTTTTATAACCTCAGTGCTTAGCATGGAGGTTCTTTCTAATGTCTATTGACTCAAAAAAAGAAAAGGAATATGGCTATAAAAATCTTACTCATTGAATAATATTAGACACTATTAGAGATACCAAGAAAAAAACAAACTTATCAGTTATCCACCAACCAGATATATTACTACTGTGAGTATTTGCTCTATTTTCTTCCAGTCTTTGTTGAATGTGTGTTCTCATGTTGAATGAAGAGATGCAAAGGAAAAAATGCAGCTAAAACCAGCAGGCTCCCTAATTAAGATGCAATGAATTGACCTAGCACTGGTCTGGGGGTCTCTGGCCCTGTCTGGGAAGCACTTTGCTGTTGTAGTAGAGGGAAGATGCCTTTAGAAGTAATTGCTGACTCCCATCCCCTGGGGATGGACAGTTGCCCAGGACTCTTGCTGACCACTAGTCAGGATGGAGTGTAGAGTCTCCAAGGAGAATGACAGGTCAGTGCTGGGTCTGGATTGCCCTGCTTCACCTTGACGTTCACTGAATATTCAAAATAAATAAATAAGTAGCTCTCTGATTTACGCACAGCTAATATTACTGGGCACCAATTTATTTAGTGATAATATATGATGTGTTTTCTATGGTTTGCTGCTTTAAAAACCTGCACAATAGGGAAAGAAAAAGGTCAATAGTTGCTTTCACCCTAGCTAGAGTTTCCTGTCGTATTTGAATATGTTGTAATGTCTGGGGAAGAGGGTGTTGAAGATAAAGACCTTTAAGTTCATTAACCAGTCACGTTCGACAACATCTGTGGTTTAGGTTGCTGTGGCCAAGTGGCCAATGGAGGTGCCACTCTTTGGAGAAGTGTCCTTCTAGGGGATGTAGGTAGACGGGGAGCGGATCTGGGGCTCCATTCCCCAGAGGTCCTTCTGACCCAGTTAACTTCTGCTGCTTCTTTTTAAAGGACGCAAAGATGATGCCGGAGGGCCCTGTCCTGCCTGTCCTCCCTCGCTGGAGACTTGCATGGAGGGGCTGGCCTGGCCTGGTGAGGGCCTCTGGGAAGTCAGGGGCTATTCCAGAATGAGGTGTTGGGAAGGAATAAGTCATTCTAGTTGGCCTTTTCTCTACCTGGTTGAATCCAATACACTACCCTTCCCGAACTGGAAAACAATTCAATATGCAATAATGTGGAAAATATGAGCCATCACTGTTATATTATAGCAAAAGGCTGTAATTTATCTTATTCATTAAGAGAAAAGAGAGCAGAGTATGGGTTCCAATGAAGACAGCAAACTTCCTTTCTGAACATCTATCTGCCTCTGAGATAACAAGAGGGAGCATTTTCGCAGCAGCGTGGGGTGCTGGGGGTGTCTGTGGTCGGGGAGGGTGCAGGCTCTCCAGGTCTGGAATGTCATGATCTCAGCGTGACACCGCTGCGTCAGTAGGGAGAGTCCAGGAGAAGGTTCCACAGTTTTATGGTCTCACCCTTTCCAAAACCTACATAACTGAGACTTGTCTCTTAGGGATAAAGGAAATAAAAAGAAAACCTAAAGATAAAGCCATAGCAGAACAGAACGGCAATAATCACTCTTAAGTTAAAATGGTACTTTGTGTCAAGAAAAACAAAGACAGACCAAGAATCTATTCCAGATTAAAGGAAACCAAAGAAACAAAGCAAGCAAACGCAAGCGTGAGATCCTGGATTGGATCCTAGGCTGGGAAAAATAAAAATGTTTCTGTTGCAATAAAGGATGGGATAACTGGTTGGCTTGAATAAGGTCTATAGATTATATAGTAGAATTAGGTCAGTGTTAATTTGCTGATTTTGATAATTGTACCGTGGTTATATGAGAGAAAGTGCTTTTCAGAAAACACCTGAAGTATTTAGGGATAAAAGAGAATTGTATCTGCTGCTTACTCTCATTTCAAACAGTTCCGAAAAAAAAAAATTTATATATATAAAGAGAAAAGGAGAGTATGATAAAGCAAAGGTGGTAAAATATTAATATTTAGAGAATCTGGGTGAAGAAATAATGAAATTCTTTGCACTCTTTTTGTAAGTCTGAAATTACTGTAGAGTAAAAGGTAAAAGCGATTTTAAAAGAACATTATTTTTAAAGCACTGTTATACCCTTCTGTTATTATTATTTTTGAATCTAGTAATAAGACCTCTTAAACGTTAACCTTTTGAAAGGTTTAAATGTTAGAAAAATATGTTTCTATTGTGCTGGGTTGTTCTTAAATAACCTACTCCTCTAGACTGGATTATTTGCCCTTTAGTGTCTTGTGAAATGTTTGCTCTACCTTCAAACATCCAAATAAGTCACAAGCCTATAAAACAGTAAGTGTCAAGTTACTCCCTGGTTCTGTTCATCCATCACATCCATCACTTTTGACTCTGAATCAAAGGACTAACTAAATAAATGTCTCCATTTTAATCCCTTTCTCCCCCCAACTGCAAGTGGTTCCTTGTGGGGACATGGACACTCTCAGGGGTGGGGGAGGCATGCTGGAGAGAACTTGAGATTTGGCTCCAGATGGTTAAATTTAAGTTCCAGGAACTAATACTTATTAATTCTGTGTTTCTAAGTGGTCAGTCTCACCTGTGTGAGCATCAGTTTCCCCATATGTAAAATGGGACCAAACTAATAACTCTCTAGAGCTGTCGAAGGCTCCAAGTAAGATGATACATGGAATACTTTGAAAAATGCTTCACCAACTTTGGTGGTTATTGGTTATGGAATTCTATACAAAGCCAAGGTGAGGGTGGGGGAGCAGAATATCTCCAAGGCCCTCTTTCTAATATTCTTTGAGCCACCTGACATGCTGTCCATGACCCAGGCCTAGAGGACAGATGGCTTAGCTGCTTCCCAGTGCCTTGAGTTGATATTTCCCCAAACAGCTACCATTAATTAAATAATTGTTTACTGTGCTCTGAACTTTTCATATCACTCATCCTTACAAAGTGTCCCAATATTAAATGGGAAAACTAAAGCTCAGAAAGACCACGTGATTGATGTAGGACACAAAACTACGAGGTAGCCCCCAAATCTGTATAACTTTACAGCCTGGGCCCCCTTCACTATGTTACCCTGGGTATCTGGCGGCCAATGCATGGAATTGTACTCACTGTGGGAAGTGAACTCAGACACAGAGCAATTTTGCCTAGTGAGTGGTACCAAAGGAACTAAACTTGGATCCATGGAGAACTGGGTTTTAATTGAGTGTGACATTGTCCATGTTTCAAACACTGCATCACCCAGACACCCACCCCGGCCAAATAAGACTCAGTTTGAATCTGGAGACTTAATCAAAGGGACACTACTCTTGGGGAATATATTCATTTCTGAAAGGCAGAAAGAGCTTGCCACTTTCTTACCCATGTTTCAAACATGTCTTCTGGGCGTAGGCGACGTAGAGTGGGTCTGGAAAAAAAAAAGAGAGAGAGTTTCCTTGAGCAGGAATCACCATGGCGGATACTGCAGCCTCAACACCATGAAATGTAGGGTGAGATGTTGGTGCATTTGCGTGTAGAGCCCTCAAAACCCCTCCCCCTTAAGTAACAGAACTGCTGTGCCCTGCTGTGTCAGACAGAGCTGGGCCTAGACCACTCGGCCTTCTCGCAGACGCACTTGACCCAAGGATTATGATGTCTATTACAAACAATGGGTCAGAGGGCACAGGGTCAGCTCATTCCCAGGGCAAGAAGCTGTGTCCCTCCTCACACACAGGTGTCACTGCTGAGAGCTCACAGCAGGCCTGGAAGGAGCAAACCTCACAGAGAAAACAGAAACTCCCTGTTTCCCTAGCCCAGAGCTACCTTTGTTCTATCATCAGAGTCATCCATCAAAAGCCCTTTAGGGATGTTTGAGGGAGCAGGTGGAACCTATATTTTGCTCATAGTTCATTTCTTTCTGAATGTTGGCAAACAGTGCTAGACATGTTAATATTTGTTCCTCCAAGTCCTGCCTTCCGGAAGGGGCTAGAACTGTCCGGGCAAGGGGATCATGGTGCTTCCGGTTCAGTGAACACACTTGTGCATATGCGGGAAGGGTGGCTGGGTGGGGCAGTGAGCCCTCTGCCATGTTCCATGTTCCCGTATTGTCCCTCCCTCAAGAGCAGGGGTCAGCAAACTACAGCTGGGGGGACACATCCAGCCAGTGCCTTCTGTTTTTGTAAATGAACTCGTGCTGGGACACGGCCACACCCATTTGTTTACACATGGTCTGTGGCTGCTTTCCTGCTACAGTGGCAGAGTTGAGTGGTTGCAACAGAGACCATCTGGCCCACAGAGCCTGAAATATTTACTGTTTGGTTCTGTGCAGAAAAATGTTGCCGATTCATGATGCAGCTACTCTACATGGTAACAAGTCTTCCTCTCCCGGAAGTTCTATGTACAGAATGTTCATCTTTGGCTAAGTTACTTAACTACTCTGAATCCACTTCCTTGGGATAGCAATAATTACCCTGTAAGGTTAGATAAAATAGTTTTCATAAAGCACTCAGCATGGTACTTGGCACATCGGAAACTTTCAATAAATTGCTATCATTTTTAGTGTAGAATTTTATTTATATCTTGCTCTGGATCTAAGGTGATTTGCTGACTGGCGGGAGGTAGTCTAATCCTGCTTGCAAGTGTAGACTCATATTAAGAAGCAGTAACATCCCTGCTATTTATCAATGACCAAAAAAGCTGTACTGCCGAGGTCTGTTCTGCTGGGGTGCTGACTCTAGGATGCTACTCTTGGTGGCTCTGAGATGTCAGCACTGGGAGGCTCTTCTCCGTTCTCCAGACCCTAGAACCCCAGTCCCTTGCATGCCATCTCAGGCACCTTTGGTGTTCCTTCACAAACTCCACGATCTCCTCCTCTGTGTAAGGTTTGTCAGGGATGGCAATGGGCTCATCCATAAATGGCTCATAGAAGTCAACCTCATTGATCTTCAAGGACAATTTCTTTGCAACCTGTAATAGTTAGAAATAAAATGAAGTTTATTTGAATGCTAGTCTAGAGAAGCAATGGATTGTCCATCTAGGAGTAGTGTGTGGTGTGTGTATTCTCTGGCAAAGACAGGAGAGCACATCTATAGTTTCGACTTCAGTGTTGAGGTGATAGGAACACATCACCTAAGTCCTGAGCTGGTTAGAAAGAAAAAGACTTATTTGGCAAATGAGAGTCAAACAGGGGCTGGGAACAGCTGGAATAAAAAGTGGAAAATTTAATTCTATAATCGGCATCACCCTACTGTATTTACCAGGGCTGGAGGGGGAAGCAAAGCCAATGGAGCATGTTTACTGTCTTGAGCCGTGTGGATTTCATTGAACCAATTTTGGTAGAACAGGCAATTGAAGGAAATTCTGAAAACATTAGGTACCCGGAATAAAAAGCCAACCCATTAATCTGTCCTAGATCAGCTCGCAAGCTCTAATTGCTGTTTGGGTTGAGGGGCTGGCCCAATGGTTAAATTTCTCAGTGCCAAGCTTGCTTGATGGTTTGTTGGGCTCTCGGAACCATTCATAGGTGACCAACTGTCCTGCTTTGCTCAGGGCAGAGGGGTTTCCTAGGATGCAGGACTCAGTGCTAAGCCTGGATAGGCCCCAGCAAGCCAGGATGAGTTGCTCACCCTGTAACAGATATTAAACAAAAAACTCAGGGCACCAGCTCACAGCCTGGAAGATGTTTTCTCTCTTGATTCAAGTGGCCACGTGGTCAGTGTGTTGTCAAGGCAGAACGGTTGCTGTGTTGGCCGGCACAGCTGCTGAACTCAGGACCTGTCTTTGTGAAATGATTTGAGAGGCCTGGAATGTCCAACGCGCTATAGAAAACCAAATGCCGTTCTTTTCTAGTTCTGAGCTGTGATCCAAGAAAGCACAGGGATGAACAGTGGTTCCCTTGACATTGACGAGGAGTTGCCAAAGAGCTGAGGCTCTGTGGTGGTAACCCACAGTGCAGTGACCCCGGCCAGCTGTGACAACTGGGGAGAGGGAGGAACGAGGTAGTCCTACACTCTTACACAGGAGCTGCTTTCTGAGGAAGCCCTGATGTCCATATGGCTTTTGTCAGCAATTGCTATCAATTCCAGGTCACTATATTCCAAAAGGCAGTTCCTATAATACTTAAGGGAAAGAAATGCTGTCATCCTACTCAGAGATAAAGAAAACAGGCCATGTTAAGAGCTACAGTCGGTCGAAGGGGATTTTATTGTCATTTTTATTTTAAAAGGGGGAGACATGAAGTTTTTTCTTGCTTTTCCCCTCTTCTCTGGGTACGGGGTGGGGTAGATGATGGGGTTGTGAGGCAGGGAGCTGGGGAGGAGCAGCGAACATACAACCAGTGTCTGGGTTTACACACAGTTCTTTGCAAAGCTGAGCCTCTGGTAGAATGGGCTTGAGAATGACATTGGAGTCTGAGGTTTTGGGTTCACTTACTATATATTCTAGGAACCAAAAAGCTGTGCTTCTGTGAGTTGGGAAGTGATCAAATGAACAGAAACGGTAATAATAGCAAACATACAGAGTAATTATTATGTGCCAGGCAGTATTTCTAAGTGTTTCTGGTTTGTTAATATATTTAATCCTCACTTTGATTGCATGAGGTAAGAATATTATTATACTTATGTACAAACGAGGAACCTGAGCTCAATTTGGGTAAGCAAACTGTCAAGATCATGCACCTGTAGGGAGTAGAACCAGAATTCAAACCCCAGCCATGGAGCACTGTAAACCTCCAACTTGCCTGTATTCCAACTTCCTTTTCATTTGAAAATTATCTTCTCCTTGATAGTGCAAAGAAAGGAATATACATGCCTGTAAATATTGCATTGACACTGCACTTGTTTTCGTGAGGTGTTTCCTTGCACCTCTTGTAACGTGTTCTCATCGATTCGTCCCCCATTAGAGTCCGCTGTGATTGATTGAGCCTCCTGAAGGAGCTGCTCAGAACCGCTGCCCAGGCAGGCAGCGTGGGCGTGCCCCAGCATGTGAGCGCGTGTCTGCGCTTGCGCATAGGGGTGGTCGTCTCGGGTTCCTGAATGCAGTGTCTAGGTCCACAGTGTTAAGTCTCTGAATGTGAAATTGTATTTGTGTCCTTAAGTCTTGGGAACCCTGAGTAGGATTTTCCAGAGGTCTTTCCACTGTGACCCCCCCATCCACCACCATGGAATGCCCCCTTCTAATATCTCAGGGGATCCCTTTCTTTTATTCTTGTAATTGCATCTTGGATGGTAAGGACTAAAGGAGAGTTGACTGAATGAAGCATTTATTCATTCATTTATTCAACAAATTATCTAGCAGCGCGTACTGTATCCAAGGCTCTGTTCTGGGAGCAGAGCTGGTTCATGGACACTACAATTATTACATAAGAATAGATTATATGAGTAAGAGCTGAATAAGTCCATAAAAATGAGTTCTTTTGTGCTTTTCTTATTTTAACTAGTTGGAATAGATTTTGACAAAAGACAAGAAAACTACAAAGTACAATGCCATTTCTCTGATCTTTGCATGCATATAAATTTTGATACAGATAATTTTTCTACACGTTAGCAAGACATTTCAGTCGCTGTCAATGAAACCAAAAGTGACTTGAGGCCTCCTCAATATCTATCTTCTCTACTGACTTTGTTTGGATAGTCACAGCTCCCTTTGGCCCTAACATGATTCAAAAGGGAAAGTGGGTTTTCATCCCACTGTTCACTTAGAGAGAAAGGAGCAAGCCAGCGGGAGGAGACCTGGGATAATCAGAACGGATACTTTTCAGGCCGTAAGGTAGGTGCAGCAGAGTGGACATCAACATGGCTCTTTGACACTTTCTTCCTCAGAGAGGTTGGGCCTTTGTGTGGCTTGATTTAGGATCGAGATCAGCAGATAAGCACTGGTCCCAAACCTGTGTGCCCTGTAAAATCCCCTGGGGACACTTTTAGAAGATGCAGATTCCTGGGTCCTGTCACAACCCTAAAAAAATCCAAGTTTCCAGGAGTGGGGCCAACAGATTAATGGTTTTAAAGGCTCCTTGGAGGTATACCAGTATGACAGTGGTTGGGAACTACTGACTCCCAAATCTACATCAGCAGCCTTGACGTCTCACTCTTGTTATGGTTCTCCAACTCATGTCATATATTTATTGGTTTGTTTACTTGTTTACTTTCTGTCTTTTCATCTCCTCTTCTCCACACTGAACTCTATCTAAATTCTACAAGAGGAGGAATCTGTTTTGCTCAACATTGTATCCCTGGCACTGAGAAGAGTGCCTGACACATAAAAGACACTCAATAAATACTTACTGAGTCAATGAATGAATTAATGAAAGAGACCTCCAGTTGAATGGTTTTCCAACTTGTAGAAAATAGTACTTATAACCCCATCTATGTTTCTTGATAGATTCTTCTTCCTAGATTTCCAATGTTTTCAGTAGCTTCACAATTTTTGCTGTATTGAAGTCAAAACTTGCTATCTTAAATTGCTTAGGGGTCTTTTCTTTCTCTAATTCATCTCATTAATGGCCAGGTCCTCTTTTCACATCAACTTTTGCCAGTTAGTTTTTTCATCTCTGTGATTGTGTTAGTGCTTTCTTGTCCCTTTCCTTTCCTGGTTTCAAACCGCTACAAAACACCTCCAGATCCCTCTGAGACTCCCAAGTGTGTGTTATGCAAACATCTTTTCAACCACCTCCTGTCATTTATTACTTCCCCCCTCCTCTGCTCTGGCACCCCCTGCAGGACACCACTGGGTGCAGCTATGCCTTCTGGACCCCACCAACCCCTGCCCCCTCCACCACCCCAACTGATGGGTGCATGTTCTTACGTCCCCAATGGCATCAGAGTCCTCTCAGTGCAATAGCTCTCCCCACATGTGTCTTTCTCTTTTTTAATGTTATGAAATTCCACAAGGCTATATGAACAGTGGCCTTTATGACTCAGTGTCTTACAGAGTTTTCGGTAAAGCAGCTTTCTGAGTTTTTAATTATAGCCTGACCTCACCTCTTCATGGGCCACAGACATGAAGCCATATAGTTGGACTGGGAGGCACCTCTGAAAACAGACACTACCCTGAACTCAGAGTGGAACCACTCCTCTAAGAACTAAGGCTGTGCTGCTTGGCCAGGCTTGTCTGCCTGCCTCTCTTCCTTTCCTGTGGGTTCTTACCCAGGGCCACCTTAGCTATTTCTGGCCCATCAGAACTAAATGTCAGCAGTGGATGCAGTTTAGGCTTCTCTGTACCACCCTCTTCTCTACTAACATGCTATCCCAACCTCCCATCCTCCTGGGCCTAGAGGACTCCCTTCTTATCCATAATAGTACTTGCAGCTAGCTAACATTTACTCAACATTTACTGTGTGCCAACCACGAGCTAAGCATTTTACATATATTGCTTCTTTCTCTGAGTATAGTAGGACAAGGCATTGACTTTGAAGTCAAGCTGACCTGAGATTAGAGCAAGCTTCCTGATTTTTTAACTATCATGAGCCAATTGGCCCATGAGCCAATCACTTAATCTCTTGGTGCCTCAGCTGCCTGCTCTGTGGAATGAGAATACTAATTCCTCCCTTACAGGGGTGTTGAGGAGATGAAATGAGAAAACCTTCATAAACCTCTTAGCACAGACTCTGCCATGTAATAAGCACTTAATAAATGACAGTTATTATTCTTTTCCATATTCTTCTCGAGATCTCTCCCAACTTCAATCCAACCACTTAGGGCAAACTTCCTTCAAGTTTAGATTCTATTACTTAGATTATAGACCTCTCTTCTGGATTACAAGCTTGAAGAGAGGGCCATACCCATAGAAATCGCTCAATATATACATGAACTGAATGCGATCTCTTTTCCTCATGCCCCTTTCCTGCTACTGCCCCCATGGGCTTCCTCTTGTTTTCCGTGGAATACTTAACTCACCGTAATGTAAAGGCTCATGAGCACTGCCCACCAGCCATCCTACTCCTCCAAAGGCCACTCTCCCGATCAGCTTTTACTTGAATTTGATCAAGAACTTAGTTTGTCCTAGATTTATTTGTCCCAGCAAATATGGTGATTTAGGAGTTTCAGTTAGCATATGTGTATGTGGGGGGAGGTGGGATGGGTGTGTATGTCACATGTATGTGTTGTGCATGAATGCATGTGGGGGGAGGGTGCACCCTGAATCTCAAGGGCAGATATACAGTCTTTTACTTAGTGGTGTGGTATAGAAGAAATGAAGTAGGTTTGGGGCACAGATTGTCCTAAATTGGGATCTCAGTGTTACTATTCATTTGCTAGAGACCTTGGATATTACTTAATCTTTCTAAATCTGTTTTCTTTTCTGGGAAATAGAAGTTCTTACCTTTCAAGGGTGTTTAAAGGATTGGAGATACGATAGATGCAATACATCAAAATGTTTCCAACACATAGAAAACACTCAATAAATAGTATCCACTTTAGTAGTATTGGGAACCAGGGTACAGTACTCTGACTGCAGTAGAACCCAAATAAATTACCCATTGATTCAAGGTCTCTCTCTGCTGTTCTTTGACTTATAAAATCACTTTCCACATCTGGAAAATAGAAAGCATTTGCCTCGTACAAAAGTATATCCACGATATCTCCAGAACATCCAGGTAACTTTCTAAAGCACCAGGGCTTCAGATGGTCAGTGTCCCTCTCCATTTCAACATCCACCCCAGCCCAGGAGAGGGGGAAGTGTGCAACCCCAGGAAGGGAGAAGGTACTTCCTAAGGGCAAAGGAAGCAATGGCTCAGTGGCCAGGCACACTCTGGGCTCACACATTTTCAATTCTCAGTGTATGAGAAGATAAGGGCTTGCCATCACTTTTCATTGGATGTTTTTAGAAATAGCCTTATGTCCTCTGACTTAATCATGTTTGTACATATTTCCCATTCAATGGTGACTTACTGCCATATTCCTAACATTTCTGGAGAAAGGGGCAAAGCAGAATGGTTAGTGTTGCTAAAAGATAAGCAAAAGTGGTAAGAAGTTCAAATTTAAATCCTTCATGCCTACAAAACTGTTCAAATTGAGTTTTCATAGGTACTTACCCCTTTGTCAAAGGTGGCAAAAAATTTGATGTAAGGCTGGAAATGTTCAGATGCCTCTTCAAAAGCCTTGTAATCTAAGAGGAAAGAGATGAAAAGGAGAGACATTTTCAAGATGCACACTGCAGTATCTTTTCTTTTTAAATGATGCAGAGATAGTAGAAAGCCAATTAATCCTGACTGGATAATTGCTTAGTAGTTATTTAAGTAGGTGATTATTTAGTACTACTTAAACCCATAGTTTCCCCCAAAAAGTTTGAATTGACTGTCATTGAATTGCCCCAGAGAAGACCTCTTCACTATACTTTTATGAAGTTCATAGATGGAAAGCAGAAAACAGGAAACTGAGAAAGGACAAAGGAGAGAAAAAGACATGTAAAACTCCAAACCAAAAGAAAAGAGTCCTTCCACTCAAATTTACTGCTAGTTATAATCATTCCCTCTAGAAAAGTGCAGTTTGCTATATAAATGAGCCCTAAATGAGAAGGAAATTCACTTTAATGTATAAAGTGACCTCAATAAAAAATGACATCACAGCAGCATTTAAAAATTCTTAGCAGGAGCACTGCTCTTGGTGAATCCTAGTTTTCTTTTCTCTTTTTTAAGTTTTTTTTTTTTTTTTAATTCTGTTGCCTTGTGAAGATTATCTAAACTTATCGAGCCTATGCTTTACTCCAGTCCCAAACTTGAGTCCAAATTGGTCAAGGCAGGCATGCGACCATGTGAGTGTGGAAGTGCTGTGCCTTGGTACACCTGGGCAGTTACTTGGTAAAGTTACTCATATTCAAGCCTTCAATGTGAGGTGGTGGTAGTCGTGGTGGTGGTAGTTGTTCTGAATAAACTCTGTAACTCTCAGAATCAGTGAGCCTATGATTTATTCTTAACAAGATTAACTTTTTTCCATTTTATGGAATTCCACATCCCTTAACAATAAGAAGTATAAGCTTTTGCTAGAATCCTGGGACTGTGCAGAATTTTCTAAGATTTTATAAAAAAATTTTTTTTAAAAATAATGCTGGCTCAGGGGATATTCAAGATAAGTAAGAAAAAGGCACCGATCTCAAACGGCTTTCAGCCCAGCAAGAGCGATGAGCCTTAAACAATCACAGTGCAGTGCAAGAGTTGCTATAGTAGAGGCTGAGTGCAATACACTCAGAGGAGAGAGGAGTTGAACATTTACAAGAACACTTATACATACTGTCCTCATAAAGATACCCTGTAGGCTGATAGCTGGGGTAGAGGATTGGGTAAGGGGGGAGAAGAAGGTTGGGAGCATTGGAAGAATGAATAGATAGAGGGTGAGGAAGTAGAATGGCTAAAGCAATACCTTAAGCCATCTGGGTCTAAAGTTTCACTGGGCTCTGTCAGAATCCCCTGTTTCCCTTTCCCCAATCCACCTGTTCCGATAAATTTCTCCTCACCTCTGGGAACTCCTGCCCTGATGGAAGGAAGGGCTTCGGCCTGTGTCAGGACCCCCTTTCTTCTCTGGGAGAGCTGGTCTACATCACTTAAGAGGAAGGATGGGCCAAGGTGACCCCCCCATGGTTATTCAAAATGAGTTTAAACCTGTAGCCTCCCCCAAATAGCAGCTGTCTTCCAGGATACTGCATCTCGTCTTCTGCTCCGTCTGATCTCATGTAATCTCTAGATTTTTCCTGCTTCCATGTCCTGTTTTGATGCTGAGTGGCTTCTTCCTGGTTCCTCCCAGTCTGACTCCCCAGTTTCCTTGAAGACTCTTTTCCCTTCTGGAATAGGCTCCTGAACATTCAGCCTCTCCAGCTTACTAAAGATTTGTCTAAGCATTTTCCCCATCTCTCAGGGTTTTCCCTACCCGATGTAAGTATACCAGACTTTAGTCACTGGATGTGGTTGATAGCACCGGCTAGAAACTCTGGAGAAAATGCTCGGAATGACACCGTTTGTCTTACAAAGAGGAACCAAGCCAATTTGTTGGGGATAAAACATACAAAGAAGTAGGTGAACATGTCAAAACACTTTGAAAACACTGCCCAAGTTCGTATACAGATGATGGTGCAGCTACAATGACAAGAAGGTGTAAAGACTTGACACTAAGTTCTGTCTGAAAATCTTGAGAGTGTCAAGTAATATTTATTTACAGAAAAGCTCTGTCATATAAAGGTTTGCCTGTGGATCTGAATTCCACATAAGAGGTTGTTGAAAAAAAAAAAAGGTGACTAATAACATGCAAACCTGCATAACCCCTTCTTTTTTTGGCTTTTAGTAACGAAATGAGTGAGGAGAAACTTCCTCTGCTGTTTCACGCTAACGCAGCAGGTTGACTGTTTAAGGGGAGTTTTATAAAGAGCTTATTAGCTAAGAAGTAAATCGAAAAGTAAATTGTGAATTTTACTCACTTTGAAAAATTTTGAGGGATAATTATGGGTTTCAAAAAATGCTGGACCAGCCTGGCGTGGTGGCTCACGCCTGTAATCCTAGCACTCTGGGAGGCCGAGGCGGGCGGATCACTCGAGGTCAGGAGTTCGAAACCAGCCTGAGCAAGAGCGAGACCCCGTCTCTACTATAAATAGAAAGAATTTAATGGCCAATAACTATATATATAAAAATTAGGCAGGCATGGTGGCGCTATGCCTGTAGTCCCAGCTACTGGGAGGCTGAGGCAGTAGGATTGTTTGATCTCAGGAGTTTGAGGTTGCTGTGAGCTAGGCTGACGCTACGGCACTCACTCTAGCCTGGGCAACAAAGTGAGACTCTGTCTCAAAAAAAAAAAAAAAAATGCTGGACCTTGTTGAGAACCTACCTTACTGTGAATTTAATTGAAAATTTCAAGGACCATATGTAATATATGATATACTGACAACATTTATTAATTTAAAAGCAAAAATTCAACTTTAAAAAGGAGGTTAAATGATTCACTAGCAAGTTTATTAGTTAAATTTTAAGAATAATTATTAGGACCAATAGAGCAGTATCTGTGGATTCCTAGGAAAAGCTTTATTATTATTTTGAAATATAGAACATGAAAAAGTTGAATTAGATTTGCAATCTTTTGAAATTCATTCGAATTATCATAAAGAATTTGAACATTACATTTATCAATGAAAAGAAAGGTAATAGCTACATGATTGAAAGAATATACACACCCCTGAAGGGCACTTTAGAGATTGAATTATCTGAATTATGTCCAATGGCAAGAAAAGAATGTTCATTATTAAAGAAAAAGCAATGAATATCGTCCTCACACTTTGTACCATCCACATGCACAAGTGATGTCTCTTGTCAGTGGTGACTATCAAGAATTTGAAGAGATCATCATTTAAAATCTTGATCAGGATTTGCATGTTGTTATTTCAAGCATAAAACCTAATATCAAAAAGCCATATTCTTGGAAGCAAGTACAAGATGCTTATTCAAAACTTTAAAATATTTTCTTTGGAAATTGTTTTACAATGCAGCATGTGATATGTTTCCTATTATTTTGTTTTTACTTATTGTTATATAACATACATAAAGTAGATTAAAAAAAAATTTCTGGTCACTAAGCCCAAATCTCTTCCACTTTACCCCCATTTTATGCCATTGAAGCATCATCATATTTTATGTGTGCAATGCTCTCCGTTTGCAAAGTTTTAAAAGCACAGCCCAGTAGTTAAATGGATAAGCCCTAAAGTCAGATTCCTGGAATTTCGGTCTTGGCTCTACCATTTGTCACCATGTGTGATAATGGATGAGCTAGTTAAAACTTTCTTTTCCACCCTTTCATCATTATTAAAATGCAGATAATAATGGTAACCACCTCACAGGCTTGTTGTGAGAATGAAATTAAGACATCCACATAAGCTCCTAGCATAGGCCTGGCTTATAAAGTGTGTTAATTAAGTGGCACTGTTATGATTACTAGTTTAGGGTGGGGGAAGAAAGGAACTGGAAGGTGTGTTCTTTATCCTAACCAAGGCCTCGCCTCCCTCCATCTGCCATCCTGAGCTTAGTGGAGGAGGAGAGAGAAACATAAGGATGGAGACAAATTGAGACGGAAGGACTGAGATGGAAAAGGGAAACCAGGAAATGAAATAAAGGGGAGAAAATAGAAGGGTCAGGAGAAGCACCCCAGAGTAGTCAGCACTGATGTGGAAGTATGGAAATTGAAAGAAAGTCCCCTAAAAAAGAACTAGGGCAAAACTCCCTGGCTAAGCCGCCTCCCCTAACACATCCATTTGAAGCAAATGAGAGAAGGAAATGAGTGAGAAGAGGGTTGAATCGGGGCACAGGAGAGAGAAAACAGGTGGGTGGTGGTTGGCGAAATGACTAAGGATGCTAGTGGACAGATTGGGCAAAGAAATGGTTTGCAAATAATTTCAAAATATTTTGTGGTTTCCAGAAATAGGCATAAGCAGCTCACGTTTACAGCTCCTACTTGTAGCAAGGCAGCCAGATTCTCTCTCATGGTCGTTCCCGCCCCCTCTCTCCAAGGCTGAGACATCAGAAAAAGGCTTAACTCATTGGGCCCATGCTGCCAAAGCAGGGTTTTTTTTTAAGGTACAGTATTCAAGTAGGTACCTTCCTGGTCCCTTCTCCCCGTTCTTCCTGATTCCCACCCGCCAACCTCTCATCCCTGCACAGGCTGTGGGGATGCCACCCTAGGTCCATGTGCCCACCCAAAACCTGCCCACAAAGCTTTCAAAGCGAACATGCCCAAGGGTGTGGCTGCACCATGGCAGGCAGCCTCGGTGGTCAGCTGCAGGCTTGGCCAGCAATTTTCCACATTCTGTAGCAGCTGCTCATTCTATCTCTACCCAAATTTTCCTCTCATGCTTTCCAATTGACTGAGAAGCTCTCCAGCTGGTGACCACGAAAGCTGCCAATGTCAGGGAAACAGTTCACTGTTGGTCCCCTTGTCGGGGAGAATCCCACTGGGAGGTGGGCAGGTGGGAAAAGTGGAGGAAGTGCTTTTCTCTCTTCTGCAAAACACTCACCCCCCTTCAAGGCCAGAGAACAGTAGCCCAACCTCAATGTTCTTTCAGCTCCCCTGCCTGTTTTGCATAATTTTTGCAAATGCTTCCCACTGCACTAGATACAGGAAGGATTCTAACTTCTCTTCCACCCAGTAAAAGAGATGCCAAAGATCCCTTCTCTTCTGGGATATTCTAACATAGCTTGTTGGGAATGTAGGCGTTAGACCGACAGGCTGGGGAAGACAGACCACTTACATTCCGAGTCCTCACTCTTGAAAAAGCCGATGAGCTTTGTCTGGTCCTCTATGCGTTCAAAGGCTTGGACTTCCAGTTTGGTGTTAATGATCTCCACTGGGTCTTCAATGAGCTGAAATGCCACACACACACACACACACACACACACACACACACACACACACGTTCAAATAAGAGAACTCTTTCTTTCTCCCCCAGTGGAGAAAGAGTTCTTCAGAGAGAAGCTGTAGTGGGCTTCATGGTTGGTGCCTCAAGCATCCACCCCACCCCCACCCTAGTGAGCACAGAAGCAGCACCTTTTGAGGAATTGATCTAGACTCAAAGGGTGGAATGATTGGTTTGAGGATCATTTTCTAGAGATAATTCTATTCCTCTTTCCAGTCTTTAAATTTTTTTTATTTTTAATTGTAAATTAACAAATGATAGTTATATATATTTATGGGCTACAAAATGATGTTATGACTTATAAATAGAATGTGAAATAATTAAATAAAGATAATTAACATATTCATCAACTCAAATACTTATCATTGTTTGTGATGAGAACATTTGAAATTTGCTCTCTTAGTGATTTTGAAATGTATAATACATTATTATTATATTTACTATATTTAACATGTTGTGTAATATATCTCAAAAGACCCTTATTCCTCCTGTCTCATTGAGGCTTTGTACCTTTTGACCATCATCTCCCAATTCCTCAACCTCCCTCAGTCTTTGGTAACCACCATTCTACTCTCTGCTTCTGTGAGTTCGATTGTTTTAGATTCTACATAAAAGTGAGAACACGCAGTATTAGTCTTTCTGTGCCTGCCTTATTTCATTTAGCACGATGTTCTCCAATTCCATCTGTATGGCTGCAAATGACAAATTATTTCTTTTTATGGCTGAATAGTATTCCATTGTGCATATATAATACATTTTCTTTATCCATCCATCTGTTAATGGACACTTAGGTTGATTCCATAACTTCTCTTCCAGTTACTGCTTCAGGAATGGGCAAGCGACTGACCCAATGAGGATCGATTTACTGAAGACTTTGGGAAAGTTCTTTACTCTCATGAGAGCAACGGGAAGCCAGATATCCTTTTTTCTATTATCAGAAATGAATTCAGAAAAGTGATGTATCAGCTCCTGCTCCTGGCCATACTATAACTAGCTTGAGAATAATCAGCTTGAGGACACAGGCAACATACTGAAAATAGAATGACCTGTGATTTACAAAGAAAAATGGCTCTAGAGCCCTGATTTGATCAAGTCTAAAATCTGCTCTAACTCTGGTCTTCCACTTATGGGGCTCAATCACCTTATTTATTACTGAAAACAGAGTCTCATTTCCAAGCGCCTCTCCCTAGACAATAAAGTTGGGGCAGCGCCATGTTGGCCCAGAGTTGTTCTGTTGCCCTTCTCAACTTTCTTATGGCTTGCGGTATGGGTCAATGGGATGGCCAAATGGGGTCAATGGGCACTTTATTTGGTGGGAGGTGGCCTTCATCTCACTTCTAACCTTCTCTCTGGTTTTTGAGGCTGTAGAGAAAGAGCAATAGACCACTAGGTACCAGATGGTAGATGAGGAATTATCAATATGGATTCAATAGCAGGTATTTTATCTGTGCAAGAACATGTGTTAAAAGCATTCAACTTCACAGCTGTTACTGAAAGTGTGAGTTCATCTATGGATGAAATATTTTTAGAGTGTTTTTTCCTCGGTGCATGTGGATCCGAGGGTGTGGTACCTTCACGGCTGAGAGTAACTGTGATATTGGGGGCCTCTTTAGTGCTGCACCTTCTTTCTGTTGCTCTGAGGTGACGTGGCTGATTGGTACTCCTGTCTTCCTCTCTCTTCAGGTGACCAGTTGTCCCCCCCTTTCCCACATCCGCCAGCTCTTCTTCGTCAGCTCTGGAGCAAAGCCGAGGGAATGTCAGTGGACGTCGGTGTGTAAATGGTAAGAGAATTGGCATGTTACCACTACGTGGTCCTGATTTGTGACCCTCTCTTTGGTCACTAATCAACAGTTTCTAGGGTGACTTAGGAGCCAGTTTCCCAGGAGAAGTAGGTAGTGCAATGATGCAGGTGCTCCTTAGTTTCTTGTGGAGCTTAATAAACGTGACTTAGACCAGGTCATGTTCTCCAGCTTCCCTGTTCTCACTTTGGGGTTTTACCGCCCTGTCTATTTGAGCCCAGACAGCTCCATGCAGGGTCACTGTGCACAAATACTTACATCCAAAAGAAACTCCACTAAAACATCAGCTGCAAACTCGCCATCAAACTCAATTGTGCGATCACCCTTAAGAATGTACAGGCTTCCTTCTTCATTAAAACCTGGAAGAAACAAAGAGACCCAAGGACAAGGTCGTTCTGATGTAGGCAGAGCCATTGCCTCGGCTCAGGTCTGGGTCAGGGTCCTGGGGTGATGATGAGGTCCTGGTCAGGGGAACTAGCACTAACCCAAGCACCAGCCCAAAACAGCACTTCTGAAGGGCTCCCAAAGTGGGCATTTCATTTGAATTAGTCAAGAACTAACAATTCCAACTGGGTTTTAACTTGAAAGAAAAATCTATTCTCCACCTCACCACTACTTTAGTTTTCCAAAAATACTGCTGACCCATGTCATTCTCCTTATCAAAAAATTTTAATGGGCACTGTCCACCTGACTCCTTAGGCTGGCATTCGAGTCCTTCCACAACCTGGTGCTACGCAGCTCCCTTTGCCATGTTATAATGCGCTGTTGTCGCAGGGTGTATAAAGGAAAGTCACGGAGCGTTATTCTCTACACTTATGTTCCTTGTTCCCCAAACCTGTGACCTCCATCTTGGTTAGCTCCTTCAGGCCTCAGCTTAGGACTCATTTTTCCTAAGAAGCTCACTCCAATCTCACTGGGCTCATGCATGATCTTTCTGCAGCCCCATTTACAGGTCCTCACTATCACAGTGCATTCTTTGAGGGCAGGATCATTGTCTTTTTTGCACCCCAATGCCTCTCACAGAGCCTGGTGACATGGGCACTTTTAAGTGTATGTGGAAGAACCAGCAGCTTGCTTTCCTATTCTAGCTGGATCTCACATGGCTTCCCCACCCAGTTGGCTGACAGAGGCTACAAGGGCAGGTTCTACATCTTCTCCTTTCCTGCTTTCCAGCGCCTTTGGTATACTGTTGTGTTCTGTCACACAAGCTTGCTGGAAAACTGCCTTCCCCTCCCCCCCCCCAAGGAATGCTTAATATCTGAGGCTGGCATTTGGTCCAACTGCATGGCTTCCTTAATTCCTTAGATTAATTGTTTTCAAACTCTCTATTAGCTGGACAATGTTTTCTCCAAATGAACTGCTCTGCAGAACCTCTAGGGGCAGGAAGCTTGGATGCTGCCCACTGTGTCCCAAGTCATGTCTGAGGGAGCCCCTGGCACACTGGGGAGTGCCGTTTGTAAATCAAAAAGAGTGACAGGAGCTGGGTGTAGTGTCTCACGCCTGTAATCCTAGCACTCCTGGAGGCTGAATCAGGAGGATTATTCAAAGTCAGGAGTTCGAGACCAGCCTGAGCAAGAGCAAGACCCCGTTTCCACTAAAAATAGAAAGAAATTATCTGGACAACTAAAAATATATATAGAAAAAATTAGCCAGGCATGATGGCGCATGCCTGTAGTCCCAGCTACTCGGGAGACTGAGGCAGGAGGATTGCTTGAGCCCAGGAGTTTGAGGTTGCTGTGAGCTAGGATGACGCCATGGCACTCTAGCCCAGGCAACAGAGCCAGACTCTGCCTCAAACAAACAAACAAACAACAACAAAAAAAAAACAGTGAGAGACCAGGTAGTCCTGGAGCCCAGCATGGCTGATTTCAGAAGGTACCATAGGGAACATCAGTCACTCTCCTGTTGGATTTTATCTTGAGCAAAACCAGTTAGAAAGCTATTGCAGTAGTTCAGGCACAACCTAATAGAGGCCAAACTAAGGTAAATGGAAGAGGTGATGAGCTGAAGGAGCAGGTTCACAAAATACAACCAATGTCCTGTAAAACCCCACAATCAAATAGCCAGATGGAACCTGCCCCAATTCCTTCCAGCTGAGATTGGACAAAAGTTTGTTTAGGCACACCAAGCCCTGTCATGTCCTTTGTTGTTCCATCTTTGTGAATACTTGCCTGGCTGGTCTTCCCTAAAGTTTTAGATCACTGGGACACTAGCATTTTCCTCTCCCTACATTTACTGCAAATTCTCCCAAATTCAACGTCTCATTAAAACGGTGGGAAGGGAGAAGATCAGGAGGCGGTAGGCTGCTGGGGGAGGAGGCAGGACTCATTAAATTGTTTTGGACTCCCGGGGAAGAGTTGAACATATTTTGCTCCCATGCTCAAGGGGAACAATATTTCTTAATATGTCTCCAGGGAAAGAGATATCCCAGACATTCTTAATAATTCATTATCTTTTATAGTCATGAGTTCTTCTTTGTATCTAACATAAATAGTCTCTTATAATTTAAATCTTTAAAAATAAAATCTGGTTTTCTTGAAAATAAAATAGAAAATGGTTGTTTATAATTTTTCTAGGATAATAACTTTTATGTACCTGAAGGTATTTATTGAACCACCACTCATCTTTTTTATTCTGTGCTTACTACTCCAAATCCAATTAACCTTTCTTCAAAGGTCCTGTTTTATCACCTCCTGCTATTTTTTTTTAACAGCCATTCTTCACTGGTCATGCAGAAAAAACCAAATGGCAGTACATGTGTGTGGTGTTTGAAAACCAAAGGAGTTACCTATATTCTTTCTCCTTGGGATTACAGAGGTAAGACTCTTAAAGTGCACTTGCCCTTAAACATGACATATTGACACGAGAGATTACAACTTCCATTGCATAGTCACTTAACCGTTACCTCACCTAAATCCTCCCTCTCGTCTGTGGAGATAGCCCAGCTGGGGTTTAGTCTTCACTTTAGAAACTACTGGGACCCTTGAGTCACCACGATGAATACTATCTTTTGTTGGCTGCTTCAGCCAAGAGGCAAGGAAATAATAAATGATGGAAGAAGAGATATAAACTCTCTCAGAGAGATCGCCACAGTGGTGAGGTAAGAGAAGCTGGCCTTTTGGCCTGTTTTAGGAGCTGAAAATAAAGGCTTGGATCTTTACTGTCAGTTTCTCCAGGAAGAAACCCTCTTCATTGTACTGTTACGAAGATATATTACATGATTAATGTGAAACCACTTACTCTTAAACCACAGGCCCATCTTTACTTTTATGAAACTCTTCTTGAGTCTAAGACTAACATATGCCAGACCATTTTATATTTATTTAAAAATAGCCCAGTTATCTTACAAGAATAAGTACAACTTTTTTTTTTTTTTTTTTGCATGACACACTGTTTCTTCCTGATATACAGTATCTCAAAAATCACACTTACCCAGTTTCTTGGCAAGCCTGGCTTCTTTCTTGGAATCCACCATCACAAAGCCTATGTCTTTATGTTCCAGGATCTGGGCCACAAGCTGAAGGGACAAATAGAAGGATGAGTAGGAGGCTAAGGACAAAAGATGGTAGGAAATACCACAGCTTAGTACGCTGCTGCACTGGCAGGAGGGTTTTCCTCCATGTTTCCTGTTACTCTGGGACCCATGCAAGCAGCAGCAAGGGGACCCTACACTTGTCCCCTCAGAAGAGGGAAAATCCAGGAGAATGCTGAGAACCAAGGAGAGAAACAATCTGAGGAACAGACCAAAGATATAAGATTTGGAAGAATAAATCCACTATCACATACAATTTTCTGCCTTCAGAGCAGACAGGATCAGGAGAGAGAAGAATCAGAAAGGAAGCATGGATACCTGACATGGTGCCCTGAGCCCTTTTCCAGCTGCAAATGGACCTGGGGTGGAGTGAGGATGCAAGAGGACCTGAGCATAAAGGAAGCCTGTGGCCTCGATGTCCAAGCATAGCCCTCGAGTCTCTTAGTCCTTGGGCTCTTGGAGTAGGGATGCCCCTGGGGCATATCTGCAGATGTACCTGAGCGGTTTTTTGCAGCACATTTAGAGGAAGAGTGACTAGAGCATTGGGGCGGGGGAACAAGGAGGATGCAGCAGCGTCTTAGAGGGACAGATGGCTGAAAACTGCTCGGGGTAGAAACCAGCAGAGATGATGACATCAAGCACAATATTGGCATCCTAAGTTTCCTGAAACTTAGATAACAGCAAGTAGGGAGATCCTCAATTGACCGAGATCTAATTCTTGCCATCTGGCTGAACAGGGGCGTGAAACGGAACTGAAACGGATAAGCTACCAGAAAAATCATGGACTACTAATGCTACTTTTTTTTCATTAAACTTTTTAAAAAAGATAGTTGTAGATGAACATGCAGTTATAAGCAATACTACAGAGACATCCCTTGTACATTTTATACAGTTTCCCCCAATAGCAGCATCTTGCAAAACTGAGATATAATATCACGAACTGGATATTGATGGTGTTGATACAGTTAAGGTGCAGACCGTTTCCATAGCCACAGGGATCCCTCTGTTGTCCTGTGTAGTCACACCCTCGGGTTCCTAGCCCCAACCTCGCTAATCCTGAGCAACCACTAAGTAATCTCTTCTCCATTTCTATTAATATAATTTTGTCATTTCAAGGATGTTATATAAATATAATCATATAGTATGTAATCTTTTGAGATTTTCTGTCTTCCTTCCTTTCTTTTCTTTCTCTCCCTCTCTCTCTCTTCCTCTCTCTTTCTTTCCCTCTTTCTTTCTTTTTGTAAAAATTTTATAGTTTACAGCCAGGCATGGTGGTCATGGCTGTAATCCCAGCATTTTGGGAGGCCAAGGCAGGAAGGTTGCCTGAGTCCAGGGGTTTGATACCGGCCTGGGCAATATAACGAGACCCTGTCTCTATAAAAATTTTTTAAAAAATTAGCTGGATGTGGTGGCATATGCCTGTAGCCTCAGCTACTTGGGAGGCTAAGGTAGGAGGATTGCTTCAGCGTAGGAGTTAAAGGTTGCAGTAATTATGATCACTGCACTTCAGCCTGGGAGACCAAGTGATCTGAATCTAAATGAATAAATAAATAGTTTTATAATTTTTACATTTGACATTTAAGTTCATGATCCATTTTGAGTTAAATTTTATATAAAGTGTGAGACAGGTTGAGGGGCTTTTGTTATTGCTGTTTTTGGCCAATAGATGTCCAACTGTTCCAGCACCATTTATTGAAAAGACTGTCTTTCATCCATTGAATTGCTTCCACACCCTTGTCAAAAATCAGTTGGTATAGCCATGTGGGTCTATTTATGGTTCCTGTATTCTGTTTCATTGATCTATATGTCTGTCCCCTGCTGATTACCACATAGTCTTGATTACATTAGCTATATATTAAATTTTGAAAGCAGGCTGCCTCTTCCCACTTTATTCCTCTTTTTCAAAATTGCTATAGCCATACTAAATACTTTAGCATTTCCATATAAACTTTAGGATAATATTGTTTACAACAAAAAAAATTTTGCTAGTATTTTGGTAGGACTTGAATTAACTTGGGGAGAATAACATATTTACTATGCTGATTCTTCTAATTCATGAATGTGTTATGTCTCTCCATTTATTTAATCTTCTTTGATTTCTTTCATCAGTATTGCATAGTTTTCAGCATATAAATCTTACACAAGTTTTGTTAGATTTATACCGAAGTATTTAAATTACTTTAGTGACCATAAATGGTATTATATTTTTAATTTTAGTGTCCATGTGTTTATTTCTAGTATATAAATATATACTTGGTTTATGTTTATTTTATATCTTACAACCATGTTGTACTCACTTATTAGTTCTAAGAAATTTTTGCTTTGTTTTTCATAGATTGCTTGAGATTTTCTATGTAGACAGTCTTGTCATTTGCAAATAATTTCTTCCTTTCCAATCTCTATGCCTTTTTATCTCCTTACATTTTCTTATTGCACTGGTGAGAACTTCTGGCACTATTTTGAATAACAGTGCTAAGAGTTTTTTCTTTGTTTCTCAATCTCAGGGATTTATTTATTTTTCCTTCCAGTTCTCTCAGTTTTCTTCATGTTATTCAGTTCTGTTGTTTGCTGCAGATACCTTTATGGTTTCTTGTCTTTTAGGTGGATTGACCCTGGGCCTATCTGGCTCCACAGCTCATACATCCTTCTACTTTCTGTTCTATAGTTGCATCTTTCATATCCTCTTCATTGCTATGTTTTCCTTTCATTTTTCCCAGCACCTGTGGCTTTTCCTGTGGGTTTCCTATCCTGTTATAACTCCCTGATGTCCTTCTTTGCTTATTCATTCTTCCCTCCCTGACCTTCTCACGTGTTCCCCATTCTGTTTTTCTCTCTGGCCCCTAACCACTTCCTTTCTCTGAGAGGCAGGAGACTGGGCAGAAGCACAGAGAGCTGCTCCTAGGAGTGGCCTTGGTGGTGGGCGGAGGGCGGTGGGGTGGGGAGAAGATAACAAAGGGCCCTGCTGCCCCTCCCCCTTGGCCCAACCCCCATGCAGTTTTCTTCTTGTATTTTGGCTGGGACTAGGAAAGATTTAGGATGAAAGGCAGCATCAGTGTTTGTGTATGACTCATCTCGAGCTTTCCTACAATGCCTAAATAGACCAGTCTTTCTGCCAGGTCACTTGTCTTTAGTCTATTGCATTCAAATTATTAGACAAGGTCATTGTTGAATGAGTTTTCTGGTTTTCGGTGTAAGCCACTCTGTCCCATTTATTGCTGTCAACACCTTAAGTTAAATGTTCCCTTGTCTATCATTGTAAGTCAATACTGATGAGACTTAATGGCTTTGTGACATAGTAAGTTGCCCCTGTCCTAGAATTGGAGCCTCTGACAGTGGCTCTTACTGTGTTTAAAAATCATCTGGGGGCTAAAATGGGGCTTCCTGGGCCTCAGCACAAAACAATAGAGAATAGAGCTGGATGGAGCTCAGGAATCCACATTTTTATAAACCGCACTACCACACCCCATGATTCTGACACAGCAGATGTCAAACCACACCCTGGAAAACACTGCTATAAATGGTTGTCAGTTCATCCAAAGTGATATGGCATAGAGTTCTACCTGTGACCCGTGGGCCCACACTTGGCATAGGAAAGAAGTATTAATAATAGTACGAATAACAAACAAGAAAGAAATTAACTCTGAGAATTAAACAGAGAATTTAACTTTGACCTCTCCTAGACGCATACTATCATATTTAGTTTTTAGGTAGATGCAAATGTGCGCCTCTCCGAGGCATGGAAAGCATGGCCTTCCAGTTATCTTCTTGATATTTATATGCAACTTTTGGAGATAGATGAGTGGGAGGGCTATCTCAAATGAACTCAATTCTGTTTTCCTGACTTCCTGGTTAACTAAGTACAGCCAATCACTGTCCTGTGCTGTGGATGGATAGACAGAGCAGGCAATCACAGATGAGCCAGGATCCCATGCTAGCTGGGGCCTGCCCACCTCCTCCCTGGCATCCTTAAAATCCCAGCAGCACTCCGGTCACTCTCGCCTCCCACCCTGATTAGGGCCAAAGCCTGCCCACTTGAGCTGTCATCACTGCCGTCAGCCTCAGCAAGTACCCTTCGTAGGCCTAAGCTGAGGGAGGCTAAGGCTGGCAGCAAGCCAAGAGAGCAGTGAGGCTGGGAGGGGGAGAAGGGGTGTGCTAAAAGCCTGGGGCATTCTGGGCTGACTCCTTCATGGCCTGGGCCCCTCAGGACCAGGTGCCCCTGCTGGGCCAAGGGGCAGACAGGACACTGCCTCTCATATTTGGCTCAGCTCTGCCTCTGCCTTTGCTCTGGCCTTAAATCTCTAGCTCATATGTTCCCTTCTATTCTCTCCTGCAGCCCAGCCTCACTGTGCGCTCAGGTCACTGCCAGCCCTGGTCACCCTCATCTGCAGAGCTCAGCCCCGTTCTTCTTTCTGGAACTCCGTCAGTCTAGTACAGGAGCACAGTGCTCTGGCACTTATTCTGTAATTTGTTAGAGTGGTGCTAAGTCTCTTTGGTATTGTGACTCTTTCCTTCCTAAGAAGGACCCTGTTTTGTGCTCCTTCTGTATCTTGCACAGTTCCTTGGGGGCACTCGGCATACTTGTGGATGAATGTATGGATTGGTCTGAATATTTCACAAGTTCAAGGGGCTTGTGAACCAAAGAGGCAAGAGACAATTGTCACCAAAAACAGTGACTAAGAGTAATATACATGAGTAGAAAAGGAAGCATCAGTATGTCTCATAAATTCCCAGAAAATTGGTATTTTCTTTTTAGATGTGATTGCAATTTTCTCTTATTGACTTATAACCATTCCTCTGCTGGTTTTGTTTGCTTGTTTGGTTGGTTACTTCTCAGATGGTCTTGCCTGCCATCAGTCCATCCCAGAGAATGGGGTTGTCTCTTATCGGTTGGTTATGTGCAGTCCCTGGGCATTGGTCAGTGTTTATTCTTTCTAGAAACATTAGGATTTGCTTTAACCATTGCTGATTCTTTCGAGTACAACCAA